CATGTACATGTACATGTAGGCCTACAGCGTATACGGCCCATTTCCTCAGAAAGCACTATTTATATTAAAACTGCAATGAGTGCCAGGGATACAACCCCAGGGGAGCAAATTTGGTGTATTGAATACAACCTCTGTGTGCCAGTGGATGAACCTGAGTACAGATCCAATTAAGTCACTGCATTCAAGGCTCCTCCCCAATTCTCAGAAAAAAAGGAAATAAAACCACTGAAGATGATGGAAAAAAGAGGAGACAAACCATCTACTCACATGTGACCTGAGATCTGGGATCAGTGGGATAACACTACAATCTAGGATTTGACACTGGCCTATTTCCTTTTTGTTATATGCTGAACTCAAGGTTGAAATCGGAAGAGCCCATTCAGTGGACACTGTAACTGAGAAGGAAATCGGATGCTGCTCTGGCTATGCTAAAATTAACTTCATATTCAATGTACTTTGCCAACCATGGCACAAAAATGACGATGGAAACTGACACAAAACCTCATTTTCCAAGCTTTTCAACCAGTTGAAATCCATACGTATTGAGTATTGGCAGCTGCAAAACCTTACACATCATGCAGCTTGCAGAAATGGTACATAAAATACTATATCTTTTGCGCAATACATTCATTTGAGAGTCTGACAGGCCCAACAGCTTCCTGAAAAGGCTGAGATCACAGAGATTATACACCACAACTTACAAGCCCCAGAACAATTGTCACAGAGTAACTGAACCTGGAGGAGGAACTTGGATCAAGTTTTTTGAATGAATGATTGTTATCAAAGCCTACCTGTAGCCCTTATGATTGATTGAACTCTTACTCCAAGGCTGTGTAAAAGTGACATGAAATTTTGGAAGATTGAACACTCTTGGGGTTGACGAGTTGCAAATAATACACTACTGTAATCAAAGAACAACCGATTCAGGCAGGAGTTGACATTTTGGAATTGGAAAGATTTCATACAAGAAGATGGGCAAGACCCAAAAGTGTCATAACTGCATGACCAAAGAAATGAAAGATGGGAGAGTGTATTTACATGCCAAATTTCACTTGAAGGCTTGTGGTGGGACACGTTCTCTCCTCGCCCTTTGCTCAAACATCCCCCCAAAAGAAAAAAAATCATGAATCTGGCCGGATGCGCAAACGTACACCACCCCACCTTGCATGATTGTACACCTACCGACATCAGCTACAATGCTTCCTGGCTCCAAGCCAAGTAGAAACTCCTTCACCCTGGGCCAGGCCTTATACCGTGCGTCGCTGAAGTGTGGGGCAATCCGCTCGTACACATCATGGACATGCTGCTTCTCAAGTGCGATGGACTGGGTCTGTCGATCCATGGAGGAAGGGGATGAGGGCACGGAGGGAGAGGGGATCCCTCCCTGGGGCACTTGGGCCAGGATGATGTGGCTGATCGGGGCTCAGTGCTCACGCATCAACATGTAAGGGGTGATCGAGGATACCTCGAGGCATCTGTGACAAGGAGTGCTGGCAGCACGTGTGGATGCTGCAAAGTAGGATAGACCAGAGAAAATGGGGATTACATGTACCTTCATGATACCTCACTGACAGGAAGTGAAGTACCACCTTCTCTCCCTCAAGTATCAATACAGTGACTCATAAATCGACTTGTACATGTATCCTATTTCTGCACACATACATGTACATGTACTGGGTACATGTACACACAATTGGTACACCGTTGAACACTTTCAAGATAATGGTATCCCTTTGTTTTGGTTTTCTTTTGCTTTTATTCTCCATAAAAGATCGATAAAATAAATGATCTCATTCCATGCATGTTCCAGCAACCCTGAATTAGAATTGGAAATTAGCTCTCAGTATGATAATCCATGCTGAATATAAATTCCCAAAGACCAAGGAACTACATGTAAACTGTTCGACAGTTCTGACTTTCCCAACGGTTGATTCTTTTTCCAAATTATTCCCTTCAGTGCAAGCGTGGCACAGGATGCATGATGTACATGTACAATGCACACTGTGCCAACAGCACACTTTGATTTTGAAGATGCAAGAAAGCGCACACGTGTTGTGACAGTCTTCTTTGTTGACAACAGCTGCTGTTATGCATGGCAGCAGATGCACGATATTGATTTTGAACAGCAAATCTCGGCTGCAAAATAAACAGGAAACAGTGCTTTGAAATGGGAAAGAAAAAAACAAACAAACCAAAACGACAACAGTGAGGCTTGCAGTTTTTTTTAATGCTTTCAAAGCAGAAGTGTGCATATCCCGAATTGTAGACATGTACAAATACGTGTACACTGTACATGTACTGGTACATGTGTTATAATGCTTACAAATGGACCATCAATGCAATCATTGCATAAGTTCCTTTTCTCGTTCCCTTAATTTACCAACAACATAAATAATCACCATCTGTAGAATCAACAGTATGAGACCAAGTTATGATTACTTGGTCTCACATGTAATTCTGAGGGGCCACCCTCCAGCTTACTTTGCACACATACAGTACAGTACTCAGAGGTGCATGTATTCTCCATTGCATACCAGGGAGGGAATGTGTGGTGGTGTTACAGCAATTATACTGGTATCTAATGCCATAACTGTAACAACTTCATTGTATAGTCTGACATTGTGTTAACTTCTGGACATAAAGCATGCCATAAAAGAGTATACATGTATGTGAGGATTATACTCAATGGGATAACATTTAAATTTAATGCACCCAGTATCCAATGTAGGACAGGCATACATGTATATACCGGTACATGTGTACATGTCCCCATCAACTGGAATTGTGTTTTCATTCATAAAATACATGTACCCAAAAGGTTGTATCTCAGCTATGACAATCTCTGATAACAATCTCACAGGGGGTCATTTACATGTATGAAAAGTGACCAACAACAACTGGCCATACATACTAAATAATTAACACAAGTGATACATGTATTTCAATTTAGAAAAAGAATATGCTTCACAAATAAATTACAACTTCTCTTTAAAATTGATACTAAATATAGGCACAAAGTAAGAATGAAGCACCAGGATTTTTTAAATCATGAATGAACCAATACGACGGGCCAAAAAAATTCCTTTTAACACTGTAGTGCATCAAGCCAAAACAGACTTACAAAACCTTCAGAACCACCCATCAGGTCTGAACCTTTGCTCTTGAAAGAGCAAAACTATTTCTTCCAAATGTTATAAAAGGAACTCTTTGCATTCACATCCAATCTATGGGCAAATGTCCCTTTCAAGAATTTTTGCATACATGTACAAGTGTAAGTCAAGTGCACAACACAGCGCTGTCTGGCTACGGTCTGGTCGTACAAAACAGTTTCATTGTTCAGAGGTCTATCTTATTTTTGTATTGATACAACAAATATTTATAAACACAATTCAAGGACAAACAAAGCCCTCCACCCCCTCAAAATTACTGCAGTGTGGAACACGCGGACAAAAGACCCTGAGTGCCCCTGTTTTTGACCCTACATGAATGCATCACGCTTGGTATGAACATAAACCCCAGCAACACCAAGGTTGAAAGAAATCCTGAACGGTTGACAAGTGGTTTTCATACTTGCAAAAATGAAATACAGAATTGTGAGCCATCTATTATACACTTTCGTAAACAACTCCTGATTTGAGCATTTTTCTACTGGTACGTACAAGTTGCCAATGCCAGCTTTAGACTTAGGTTGAACCATCAAGGTAAATGTTACAGCACCATGCTCAAACGTTAAACATACATGTTCATGTAAATAACAGGTAATCCCTTGTGGACAGTATCATTTGAGCCTGGCAATCCAAACTTTGGAAAAGGACAAAGCACTTTAAAAACCTGTACTGCCACATGACACCAATGTTGACTCTTGCGACTAGTTGTGAGTTATTCTTTAACACATGTACACGTTTGTATGATACATGTACATGTATTTCTCATATTTTGCTGAACTCTAAAGCGCTTCCACAGCTCTATATTTGCAATAACTGGCAATGTGCAGTGGTCAAGTTTACCTCCACTGACTTCACAGACATTGTGAGTATGCGAAACAAATGAGAGATCAGGCATGTACAGCACAAACTACTGTATTTAAAAACAGAAAGTTTGTGAAACCAAAAAAACCACACACACAAAAAGCAAACAACAAATAACAAATGGACACTTTAAAGAATAAAACTACATGTATAGTATGGTACAAGTAAAACAAAGGTAATAGCAATAACAAGGGCAACGCACCATCTACATTGCTGAGATACATCTACATTTAAACTAACTTGGAAACAGAACAATTTTCAAATATCTTGAAATGAGGAATTCCTCAAACAGCTCAGAAATTAATAGGCTTAAGTTAAGCTTCCGAATATACATGTGTATGTAACTTGGTAACTGCTAGAAAATCTAGGGTCCCTAGGGGGAACAGTTCTTAGATGTATGCATATGCTGGGGCTGCCCTGGCAAAGTGAAACTAAAATAAAATCTAATACAACTCAAGGAAAAGCAAACAGTAGGGATAATTACATGTAGGTAAGGTTTGTTTGCAACGTAAAAATGTAACACAAAAAAGAACATAGAAAATGAAATGAAGTAAGACAGCATGAGGAAATACAAACTGGATTCCTTAACCTGGAAACTGGGGAAAATAATGAATATTTTGACAGGTTCACAGTGTCACTAACTCCCAGTTTAAAGGTATCAAAATATTTATGCACTCATACCTGTATGATAAATTGCCTGGCTTTGTTAATCTTAAATACCCTGCATTCTGAGACATTACACACAATTTGCCACATGAACAACTGTCAAAGCAGTATGAACAAAAAAGCACAATACTGCCCACTTTGGCATGCTGAGGTCCTAGTTTTATCATTGCATGGAGAAGGGTATTGCTCCATGATTCAGGGGATGATTTACCCCGCTCTGAAACTTTTGAACCGGTTCTTGTAGAAATGAAAGTCCATGTATAGCCCAGGTTAGACGTCGTCTTCATTTCATTACAGTCAGGGAGTCCACCTGGGCTAGTCCATGTACATTGAATCTGACAGTCCGGATCACTTTTCATGAAAACTGTGGTACACCTGTCCATCTCTGAAATTTCTGTGACCAGAGACTCACACAGTCATGACAGTGGCATCATTTTATAGCAAAATTCCTCCCCTTCCTCTACAGACACCAAATATTTTCATTCACACTCAATTTCAAGGAAAAAAACCTCCGTTTTTGTGCAGGACTGAGCGTGAAAGTTCTGGATCACTTTTAACAGTTCCAAATCAATTGTGCACTTTGCACCACACTGTGCACGCGTGTTTTTGGTTGTAGGGTTATGTCAGCATCAGCCTCTCACAAACCAATGCAGGTGGTGTAAGTGCCTAAGTTTTGGAATCATTGACAGCTCCAGATCACTTGATTAGAGAAAACTTAATTCTAGTGTGCATAGCCCAGCCTTTTTTGTGATTTGTTTACAATTTCAATGTCTATAAGTTTACAATAGTTACAACAGAAATTTTGGAAAATGTTTGAACGTTAACCACGACATAGTTTAAAGATACCAGAATGTAAGAAAGAGTTCCGTCTACGGACAAGACTTGATGCCCCTGTGCACAAAGTTATGAGACTCATCTGAAGTGTTTTCTAAACTTACTTAATAATTAATAATTCATTCATTTATAAAGCACAAATTTCATATAAACATGTTCAAATGTGCTATACAATGAAGACATCAACGTAGTACTGGTACAATGAATACATTTGAAAGTGGTTGAGCCAATGGCATACCTGTACAAGGGTGCTTTGGGCAGCCACCAAACAACCACTGTAGAGAGGAGACAATAAGAAGCAGTTACTTTTAGAGATGAGAGGAAAACCCCAGAGAAGACAGTTCTGGGTAAAACCCACGGAGTCAGGTAGGGACTGACAACCTAATCAACATGTGGACCAAGCTGGGGATCGAACCTGGGCTGCAGAGGTGAAAGGTGAGAAAAGAACTACCTTTCCAACCCAACTCCCCAAAACTTGTAAATCCTTTAGAATTTTCTGAGCTAAATTTCACTTTTTGTGACATGTTGTCACTTTCTGATGGCTGTTATAACTGTTATAACATTTTACGGGAATATTAGTGTCGCCTGTACATTGTAAGTGGACCTCTTTCCGATAAATGTTTTTGCAGAATTACTTAATAACAGACATGACTGACATTGAAATTAGCAAAATGGAACATGTTCCACCCATTTTTGCCATGGTGCCTATACATGTACTATAGCATAGACCTACAGACTAACTAATCCACATTTTCATTGAAATTTGTGTGAACACTCACTGGTGACGATTCTCGAAAAAGGCTTGATTACACTAGAATTCAATTTTCATTCTGTATACGGCCATCACAAATTTTTCCTTGCAGTGACATATCATCCGTCAGAAAGAGAAAACATGTTCTAAAATGTCAAATTTATTTAGCAAGGAAAATACTGAAGTGTTTACTCTGAACTTCCTCAGAGTTTTTCAGACCAGTCTCATACTATAGGCTAGGCTTTGTGCAGAGGGTGTCAAGTGATGTCCGTGTGTGGAACTCCTTCCTTAAATTCTTATTTAATCAAGTCAGCGAGTGATTTGGAACTGTCGATGATCCGCAACCATTTTCACATGATTTTCCTACCTCTACACTGTATCATTCTTCTGGTCTGTGGCCTGCAGTGCTGCAGTAAACTTTTGAAGACGATATTAAACCAGAGCCTTTTTCTTTGTTGTGTTCTTCATTCTACACGTAAGTAGCCTATGCCCTAAACAGTGCTAAACACGACGAGAGTTGACGTTGTCAGGGTTGTAGGCTATAGTCCACTCATGTGGAACTTTTTCGCCGCTGTTCCATACCTTCTCTGAGATGCTACTGCTTCACTTCGATTGTCACTGAGCAGCCACTGCGTTGTTCTTCCATCGTTTCAGGCAGCCACATCACTGAGGGATGTTGGGGGAAAATGACTGCACTCCCCGCCGGTGCAATTGAAATCTCCGGTCCGTGCGTGCGTAAAGCTCCTCGCACTCTACTCGCAGACGACAACTTACCGAACAATGACAAAATGCAACAACAAAAAAACTCACGAGTAATAAACTTGTGTAAGTCTTTATAGCATTCATTTTGGTGAACGACCTGTCATTACAATCAATGACGTGTTAGAATGGTTCGTGAACGTAGGGAAAGACCGATTCAAATTTATGCAAGGTTCTGTAACAAAAAAATCCTAGTCAGGTTGCCTCTCACGTTCCCTTATTATCAAGCAGGATTACGTCTGGGACAAAACTAATTGCAAAACATGGGAGAGGGCGGCATTTATATGATGGCATGGCCGTTCTCGAATTACGTGTACTTGGCTGAGGCTTGAAATTATGCACGACCTAGCACTACCATGAGTCGTTTGTAATTTCAAGCCGCAGCCAGGTAATTCGAACATAGCTTGTACCAGTGGCACGATCAAAGATAATGCGCGTACGTAGAGGGCGATCACTTTGATCACGATTGATGAGCTACATGTAGGCGCACTACGGTACATCATCGACAGCAGTTTTTACTTTAGTATCAGGATGGGAAACACATAAAAATTTTACCAATGGCTGTTCGTTGTCAGTGTGTCAAGCTCCGGGTTATCTCATCAATATTAGGATCGCAACTGTCCAATACTGTCACAGTAAGTGTAGTTTTTTGAAATGGAAAATTGACGAATGTTGTCGTCAGTGGCTTATAAGCTTATCATGCTTAGGCCTATGCTTAATTTAACGTTATGGGAATAAGGACCGGCAGGTTGGCACAAGAGGCCTAGCCTATCATGTACATGTATCAATCAGTAAGCTCAAGTCAAGTGACTGGGCTGGGGCCACTACTAGGCTAGTCACCGTAGATCTAGGCTAGTAGTAGTAGTAGACTTCGCCTCACAACCCTCACTCCACCCCCACCCCAAAAGGTGGGGACTTGGTGAAAGTTTTCTACTATCTCAGTATCTGACTATCAGCATGAGGGTGTATTTTTATTCCTCCGTGCCATGCATGCCATGTCAGATGAGCCCCAGTTTTCTTCAACGGAATCACAGCAACGTTTAGGCTAAGTCAGACAAGGAGGTCATGTAGGCCTTTTACACGTAGAATGATGAATAAAGTAGAATAAGGAATCAATATGTAGGATATGTATATGACGCACATGACATAGATTTACGTGACCCCCTTTCTGACTCCCGGTACTTACATGTAGATTCACTCATCCCATCTGGTCAGTAATTCATCCTTAAGCCTATGGACAATTTTCACACTGTTTCTGTCTATGAAATTTTGGTTTCTATGTTGGTGTCTCAACAAGGCCATTCGTTCGTTTACTACATTAATGCATTCTCAATCATAGGACTGTTGATAAACACAGTCAGGATCCGTTTGGTCTGGGAACCAGACAACGCTAAAGGCATAGGTCCCCATAGCATAGCATTTGTAAAGAATGTTAAACAAGAGCAAACTAAATACATGTAAAGCCTAGGATTTAGTGCGAAATCATACTCATGAACAGGGCCCATTTGTATATTCCTCTGTTGATACTGAAGGGCTGTGTTTACATGACCGGTTAGTATACACCCTGTACACTTGTATGCCTCAGTCTCCTAGCCTAGGGCCAGTCTACTAATGCGAGACATGTTGTACCCCCAGAACAGTGCGGTTCGTCATCCACTGTGCTTCCACAATCGTGGGAGAGTAGCAGACAATGAACTGCTCGTTTAGTGTGACTTCTCCCATCACTAACATGAGTGGTGCCTTGTGGCAGTAGATACCCTTAGAACTGTGGGGATCGTCGTCTGGCTGTGTTTCCATGTCGGTGGGAGTGTGGTGGACGATAAACCCCACAGTTCTAGGAGTAGACAGACTGGTCCTAGTCTAGGGCTACTGCATACCTACACTGATTTAAATAACAATCCATCAAGGAGGGGAGAGACGTACTCACCAGTGAAAGTGCATGCCCTGTTGGATTCCCTTCATTTGAAATTTTGAAGGCAAGCTCAGTCCGTCCATCGTGTGGGTATATTTGTCGGGCACGATTGGTCAATATGCAGAATCGTCCTATCCTTTTGCGATCATTTAATCTAATTCCTCGGTTATCCAATCACCTTTCTTTCTGATTCATGGTTGAGAAAGATTGTTTCAAAAAGGGAAGTTAAGTTGGAGATGTCATGCAGGACTGACCTGTCACGCAGAGCGATTGGGTGATCGTGCAGGTTGAGTGATCGCACCCAACATATACAAATGTACACCTCTTCCCTAACGTGCCTGAGACGTATTGGATTTGTGAGTCTGCTTCATGCTTGAGCTTGGCGAGGCAGAACAATGACCTCCCTAGTTCTAAGGGTAGGTGTACATGTAGATGCACCTCAGCACCTGTGGAAACATACGTGTACATGTTTTTGTGACATACATGTAAATACACATTGTACTGCCAGATGGTTTGTCACTTTCGAAGCATGGAAAGAGTGTAACATTGGATTATTCTGCTACCTAGCCTAATCAGTGGGGCTTAGACACTGGACTGCATTCATACTTTCATAACCTTTGCCCCGCTACCAGCAGAGATTACTAAGTCTGCATAAATTTTGTAACATAAAGGCATTTTATTTCCATGTGAACTGATCATTACCTTTGTGACCATTTACCTCTTTCTTATGGAGAAATTGCAAAACGGAAATTTCCAAATTTTCATCTTGAAATTTCTCTGAGGAGAGGCAGGCCAAGTACCTGGCACAGGAGTGAGAGTTCCCTCGCTGATAAGAATGTAGCGGTCTGTTTTTTCTTTAAACAGGGAAAAAATGCCTTTATACATGTAGTTTAATAGGAAAAGTTTTATAGATTTCCCACTCTCTATACTGTCCACTGATGGTGGGGCCATGGAGGAAAATGTATTCCAGTGATCTGGGTTCCATTTATGGAGCTAAATGTACTTGATGTCACAGTTCTCTTAGCATTGGGGAAATGTGCAATTTCATGCCGTCCTTTTCATTGGCAGAGATGTGGCTCGGTTCAAACTGCCAGCCGTCAGTATGCCTCGCTTAGCAAAGAACAGAAGGAAAGACTGGCACAGGGGCCCAGTTTGGCTGACTTCATTGCTGAGGATTTAAACACGACAGAAAGTCCTGATGGCTATAGTGGCAAATTGGTCAAGGAAAAAGGCATGAAGAGGTAGGGAAATGCCCATCTTGGTCATTGTTAGAGTTTTTGTATTTCTAAAGGATGAGTTCTGTCAAATTTAATGAATAAAATTCAGGAAATAGTGCATCACTCAAGCAATAATGAGGGTCATTCTAAAAGTTGACATGCAACAAACTCGCTACAAACTGACAGAAAAGGTAAATACATGTAACTGTAATTTGAAAAGCTACATAATAGAACATGGATCAGTTTGAAGTAAAAGTGTGTTTGTAAAACAGAAATTTTCTTCATGTGAAAAATGACCTCTTGCTTAGCTCTTGGCCATCATCAAGCTATCACACTGTCAGCAAAATTGTGTGATCCACAGAAAGGCCCATTTTCTTGAACAGAAACTGCAGTTTCCAGGTGTTGAACCCCTCTTGCTTTGCTATAACAACCCCCTTTGGGCCCAAATTAATGGCCTGGTACCATACCTGTGAAATGTGAATGTTCTGGATGTATTGATAACTTTTAGTACGACTTTGCATGATACCTGTTGAAGGTCTCACAACTGATTGTCATTAGATCTAACCCTGCAAGATCTTACAAAATTCATCAGGAGATTTGCAGGGATTTTGTAGGATGGGGTTTTGGAGGGTAGCCTAGCCGCCTTTTTTTCTTATTGGGCTTGATACTCCTTGAAATAGGGTGTCCCACTTGATTTGGCTTGGTTTTAGAGGATTCAGGAAGGTTTCCAGCTTAAAAAGGCAAGGGGGGTATAGTCAGTTCCCATTTCTTGCAAATGTTGGAATGGTTTATGGCAAATTTGATGTCCCAAGATATTCACAGCAAAATCTGCACAGGTTGAAATGTGTTCCTCTGTTGCAGATATTTGGTGCAAACGGCTGAGGTGATGTCACAAAACTGCATCAACCAAAAGTCAAAAGTCAAGAAAGCAACTTTGTGCAAAATCTGTGAAACATTCCCTATAAAGGCAGAAATAACCAGATTAGCAGTCCATTCATATTTGAATTGGCTTCATTGCTGTATGTGTTAATCAGGTTAAGGCTGCCACCATGGCTGAAGACAGAAATTCCGGTGGGGAAGAACTACAACCGAATCAAGGAGAGCCTCCGAGGACTCAATCTCAGCACTGTGAGTCAACTTCCTAGACTTCTGTTAAATTCTGTAATTCCCACAGGCTATTCCAGCAACTGGCCATTATAGAGTGGCAACGTAGCTATGTCACGCTCATGCCTGTAACTAATTGTGTAAAAGGTTATTAGCGTCAGAACCACCATGTGAAACAACACATGCGCATTCTGCATTCATTTGCACTACACTCCCTGGTTCAAAATGACGTCACACTTTGGTACACCATTGCAGTTATACCACACTCACTCTCAGGGAGCACACACATACAGTACATGTAGACTTGTTGTTCTGTAGTTGTTGGAACTAAATGCTGTTGAAGCATAGACATAAGGAGGACAGATTTTTTGCCACACAACTCGATCTGAACTTCCCTAACAAATGACTTACCCCTTCAAAATGTTAATGGTTGTGGATGCGTACATGTATACATTTCTACTAGAGAGGTAAGTACATTGAGGACATTTCTGAGCCTAAGTAAATGTCTTAAGAGATCAGGAGTACAGACCTTGCTTCTTCAGATTATTAATTTGGTTTTTGTCAAGGTGTGTGAAGAGGCACGCTGTCCCAACATTGGCGAGTGTTGGGGGGGAGGAGAACACCAGACAGCGACGGCAACTATCATGGTAAGATCACAAACAAAGCATCTCAACCACCCTGCGCCTGTTGGCTGACATAAAAATTGCATGACTTGCGCTGACAATTAGCGGCCTGAAACAGGTTCAAAGTAAGTTTTACAGAGCAGTTTGGAAACTTGATGAAAATAGCTGTCAAAACAGTTTAAATCAAAAAGAAAATTTTACTTTAGTTTTAGTATAAAAATGCATTAAAAAATGTTAACACAGCAAATTGTGACAAACGTCACTACATAGGAAATATCTTAAAAAGAGCCACTTACAATTTGATGATTTGTATGAAAGTGCATATGGACAACAGTGGTGTAAAATAGAAAGTAATTTTGGCTTTTAATGAAATGTTCGGAGGATTGGCTAGATTGAATTCCAAACAGAAGTTAGGACCAGGCCCAGATATCTCTTTTTCAGTCTTGATCAATATTGATAAATTTAGATAAAAACAAACCCCAAAACTGTTCCATGTTTCACTTTTGAACAGCTTCTTGGAGATACATGCACAAGGGGCTGTCGGTTCTGTTCAGTGAAGACAGCACGTAAGCCACCCCCTCCAGACCCCAACGAACCAGCCAACACGGCCAAGGCCATTGCAGATTGGGGACTGGACTATGTGGTACTCACCTCTGTAGACAGAGACGGTAAGGGATAGCTTGTTCATCCAAGGGTTTGGCCCACAGAAATCTACAGCAAACAAATATCTCCAGGTTGACTGATTGTCAGCAAACCATTGGGACACTGGCTGATGAAGGCTGTTAATGGGTTTAGAAGGCAGACATATCTGCCAGTGTTGCTACATCACTGCTCATGCACGTGTTTAAAACCATCTCAACTCTCTTGAGAGTGTACAGCTGAATGCTGCTATTTGAGAGATGGAGACCACCTGTACCCTTGCAGGTATCCATTCAGTCCATGGTGTGGCAAAACAATTACTGACAAGTTTTCTTGTTCAAGAACCTTACCCTAATCCCCCCTGGACAATATTCAGGATCACCTGCAGATTTCACAATCTGTGTTCCAGAGACAAGATTTTGATATACCCCAACACACACAACAAATGCAGTCTATTATGTACAGTGGTCTTCCAAATGTTGTCTGGCAAATATAAAAGTTAAATGCTACAGGTCAAATTACTTTATTTGCCTTTCCTGTTTACAGATTTACCAGATGGAGGCTCCACCCACTTTGCCCAGACAGTCGAGGAGCTCAAAAAGAGGTACATGGGTGTCCAACGCGCACCCCAGAGGTTGAACAGATTGATTGAAGTAAATTACATGTAAATTGTTTGAGTCTGAATGACTCTTGACGACTTATAAAAGATCTGGTCACAATTCTGGTGGGTAGATAGAGGACCGAATGTGTAGAGTTTATAATCATCTCTTTTTTTATGTGGAATGTTTCTAAATACAGGAGCTCTGTATTGGTAGAGTGTCTGACGCCAGATTTCAGGGGTGATCTGGAGGCCGTGGAAAGGGTAGCCTTGTCAGGCTTAGATGTCTTTGCACATAACATTGAAACAGTGAAAAGACTTCAAATGTAAGTGTCTACTGCATCCCACACTCCAACTCACAGCACACTGTACTAATAAACAGCCACTGAGGAAGCACCACCCCCAACTTGTTAGAAAGCCCTGCCGCAGAGATGTTTGTCAAGTCATTTTCCAGAAATGCTCTGCTGCCACTGTAGTGAGCATTGCTTGTCTCTTCCTTACACTTGGCCAAGCCAAAGGACATCATTACCTGGATATGGGCGATTTTTGAATTAAGTTTCTAGTGTCCTTGAATTGAAATTAGTCACTAGGCACTGTGATCCTTGTAGAAACTTTATAAAGGACAGTGGTCGTCGTATCTTGCTGTTTGTTGCAGAATAATACCAGCCACGAGTGGTTAATAGCAAAAGCAACAGATCTCATCGTGATAACATTTTTCTCGCCGCCTTTATTCGTCAGTTTTGTCAGAGATCCTCGTGCCAACTACCAACAATCCATGGCAGTGCTTTCCCACGCCAAGAAGGTTCATCCAGATGTCATCACCAAATCCTCCATCATGCTGGGGATGGGGGAGACAGACGAGGAAGTTTTCCAAACAATGAAAGGTACCTTGCTTTCATCAGAGTCTTCGTCCTTTTGAAGTAAAGAAAAGGTTAAAAATATTGCTTAACGCATGACTGGAAAATATTGCCAGCAGCATTCACACACAGAGAAATTGTGCTGCAGTGAATTCAAAATAAAAATACCTCCTCTTGTTTGTCAATTTAATAAAAAATGTCTACCGAAACGTATCCATTTACAGGGCACTCTCACTGACCCAGATGACCCGATGTACATCTACTATTGACATAGGCCAAGATCACAGTGCCTGACACGATGTTAAAATAGTAGGCCCTCCTTTTAACATTTTGATCGAAGTATGAGCAAAACAGGAAGCCAGCACTCATTGCTGGATCGGCACAATAACAACAACCATGCATGACACAGGAGGCGACCGTTGTGCCACTTGATAAAGAATTCACACTTACTGTGCATGAAATCCAGCCTGTCCAATTTACAACATTTAGCGTACAGTTGCTCTCCTGCTGCAGTGATGGTCAATCTCAGTGAAACCACATAGACACATTGTACTTGGACCATAGCAGCAAGAGATCAGTGCTTTACGTACCAGCCGCTCATGCTACCCTGCATCAACCCAATCCCCAGTCAAATAGTTAAAAACCATACATTCTTGTCGCCTCCCACAGATCTGAGGGCGGTGGGCGTGGAATGCGTCACACTAGGCCAGTACATGCAGCCCACACGCAGGCATCTCAAGGTGTCAGAGTACGTCACGCCAGCCAAGTTTGCTTACTGGGAGAAGGTGGGCGACAAACTAGGCTTTGCCTACACGGCCAGTGGGCCCCTGGTGAGGTCGTCGTACAAAGCAGGTCAGTGAAAAGGTTAAAGGTCATATTTGTCATTTACATACCACTCTTTGCTCGTGTTTAGTAATTTCACATTCCAAAGTGTAACAAGACTGCCTTTTTTATTTTTAGGTTTTAAGTAGGCAATGATTGAGGGCAGAATAGAAAATAATTGAAAACTTCATTTACCAAAAAAGGTCAGCTGTTCTTCCTCAGTTGGTAAATAATGAAATGGGTTGCAGCCAATGGAATGTTTGTCTTCTGCCCTCTCTTGACCAGGAGCACACAGCATGTAATTGGGTAAAATGTATGGTCTCAAGCAAATCATCTCTAAACAATACCACATCAGTTATCATGTTGCTTTCTTAAAGTATATGTGGCAGCCAAGCACGAGTTATACCTGCTGTCTTCATTGACAGCTGTTTAATGCAGATCCAAACATTTTGGTCCTAAAATGTTTAGGGGTCAATGGTGACAAATGTGATTCCTTAAGTCAAATTTAGGGAAAATTCACAAAGGTTAGTGTGTTATCTATGGAGGTAATCAGCTGGACTGTTTAGGCATGGCTACTACGGATGTTTTCTTTGGTCATCCGAACAGATTAATTACTTGCTTGCTTCTTTGTTTCACTGTTGGGTCAGTTCTTATCGATGGATTTCTGTGATAAACTGGGCCCTTAAGATTTCATGGTTAATTTGGGGGTAATTATTGTCAGGTCTTTAACCTTCACTTTTCCAATTAATTTTTCAAGCTGTTTACATTTCAGTAACAAACTAGCTAATATACGTGTACATGTAAATATGTATACATGTAAATGAACTTTCCATGAATTCCAAAGTGAGAATAGTTCAGTGAGGTCACTATTTTATTTGTGGACATACAAAATTGGATGGCAAGTATCGTCATTAACCCTAACCCCCTAGGCCTTTTTACCAGGAACCATCCTAAATCCTCCAAAGTCCTCCAAAATCCTCCGATTTTCAACATGAATAAATTTCATTCAGCCTAAATCCTCCAAAATTTCTTGAAAATAATTTTTGGAGGTCTGCCTGCTGCCTCAATCCTTCAAAATCCAATTATGTTGAGGCAGTGCGAAGGGCATTCTTAAGCAGTGCGGTTGATTCAAAGGAAATATCGGGCTGAATTTGTGCTTGACTAAGCAAAAACAATACAAGGTCTAATCCACGACCTTCACGCATGGCATCCTTCATAATCAGCCATGCTCTTTTGCCATTCACCCTCAATCCTCCAAAATCCTCCAAAACGGCCCGAAGGATTTTGGAGGATTGAGGAGGGTTAGGGTTAAGATGTTCTTTTGAGGGCATCTGGCAGTGGCCTCTGTTTCAACTCAGTGAGCCAGTTGAATATAAAGGACAGTTGGGAGCACCTGTATACTCACATGCACTTTGCAGTTTGTACGCTAAAACAAGTGTACAGCTGACTCACTGACACTGGACAAGTTTGAAGTGATGTGACGTCAGATGTTTAGTTCTTGAGTGACCTTGAATTTTTTTAAACACTGCACTGGCTCGTTGAACAGGTCTGATGGAATCACACAGAGTAGTTTGTGTCATTCTGTTCGAAGGTGTTCCGTGAATTTTCCTTGCAGTCACATTGGTAGATCTGGGTATTCTTTCAATATATAATGATAGGTGAAAGTTGATTTCAGGGGCTTCTTAAGTTTCCCTGACTTTCTAAAGCATATAAAAGCCCTAAAATGTAGCCTCACCCAACAGAAACACCGTAAAAGTTTTCATAAGAGCTTCCCAGTACTCCCCTAAAATGCCCCCCCCCCCCCAAAAAAAAACCAGTTCAGCCTTGCATAGCTATCAGTGGATTGTTGCATGTCCCAAGCAAACTAGAAAACCCATTTAAAATATAATATTATGTGGACTCTTTTTGCTGTTTATTTCAGCTATTTACTCTTAATTGCGTACTTGTATACTTGTATATACCAGTATCTTTCTCACTACATTTGAGTAAGGTAAAACTTAACGATTTTGACCTTCCATTGAGTTGAAGGTTAATTGGAGAGTGGAGAAAAGGCTCACTAGATTTCATGTAGAAGAGCACCTGCTGTGAATATTTCCTCCTAATTATGGTTTTGCAGGGGAATTCTTTTTGAAGAACCTTTTAGAGAAGAGAAGGAACTCCGGTCAGCCTGGGCCAAGTTAACCGAGAAGCAAGGAAACACAGGATGGCTCTTTCAAGTATTAATCATCAAAATCCAACGAATGTGTGAATATAAAGCTATTCAAATATGAAATGTATACAAATTGGCATTTCAACACGGGTTTAATGATTTGGTTTCATGTTTTAGTGATCTTCATTCACAAATGACTAGGGAACTTGGTATGTAATTGAAATAAAACACAAGTACCTGGGTAGCTATTAACAAGCACACAGCTTGTCCTCAGATCAACTGATTTACTTGGTATTTACTTCTCATTTGTACTATTACAACTGGAAAAACACTGTACAAAATCTTGCACTGCGGGGAATGTCCGTGTTGGTTTTTTTCCTTGAATTCCTAGTTCAAAGAAAATTCAAAGAAAAAGTATGTGGGAAAAAAAGATACCTTCCATTCGAATTGTTAAATCTCCCTTTCCCAAAATACTCAAGAATCTTTCCACATAAACATGAAATCAATTTAAGAATTTCATTTTGCCTAGTTTATTGTATGAATTCACCCCCAACATTTAAATCCTTTTCTTTTCTGTGAAGAAAGTTAGTAACAGGCACCCATTCCCATAATTTGGAACCGGTTTGTGATATCTGGGGTCAGATATGAGGTACTCATGTTCTTGTTTAGCATTCTGTTGAATCTGTTGAAATCAATTTGCATCAATATTTCAAGTTTGGTAATCATGAACAAGCTTTTTAACATTAAAGACGGTGGACTTCCTGTAGACTGTGGTTTCAGTGTATAGCATCTCTGGTATCATGTTGAGCACATACATGTACATATACATGTATTTATGAAATATAAATATCTAGGGTTTATTTAAGATGTTTCTTGTAGCTAGCCAGAGTTCAACCTCATTTAATATTCACCTGTGTAATCTCATCTGGTCTTCTTAGAGGTATTTGTAAACTACAGTATTTGGTTTGGATGAAAATAAATATTTCAGGTGTTTGATGTCACCTGATGTCAAATGTTGAACTTTTACATTGGAAAGAGAGAAACTTGATTTACTCTAAATGAACATTTCCCATCAGTCTTGTAAAAGTATATGTGGTCAATGAAGAGTGCAATATGTACTTAATATACAACATGTGTATATGGACAGGCAATGAGGTCACTCGTGTATGTCCAAGCACCCCTAGAGACTGTGAATGACCAGAAGAGGTTCCTTTTTCCCAAGGCCGAAGACCCATTCTGGTCACTCACTAGTGGTATGGACGTGCACAAGGCACCTCATTACTGGTCTAGATGTGTTTTATAACACACCAGTCCCAAACCCGATCTGAAAAACAAAGAAACTTCATTTCTATATCTGAGCTGTTTAACCATCAACTCATAAGCAATTCAGCAAGCACTGTTCTCGTCTCTTGAGCGCGCGGTAAGCATGTCAAAAATGTCCTGCCACAAATTTCGAGCAGCACTAGCCTACATTAGTGCTCCCCTCGTAACCATATTTCAATCAGCCAGGCAAGAGTCATGGTATGATCTGCTTTGTGGATCGGGATGTCCCTAGTTAGGTTCCCATGATTATTGGTATTTATGAGGCACACCCATCCAATATTACTGCCACTCAAGGTGCTATGTTACCCCTGCTGTCAGGGCCCAGTAACATCCTTACAGCCATCTGAATTCCCTGGGGAGCATACAGCTCGATGTTGCAATTTCAGGCAGAAAAAGAGAGCTTCATAGAGATTTGGTCTCCTCATTGACCACTTTTGCCCTTGTAAGGCCAATCTACACTCAATAAATATCCAACACCCCCTCCTAAAAAGAAGGCCCCTTTTTAATGAGAGAAAGGTGTTTTTATGATTTGTCTATTTTACTTTCTTCCAAAAATGTGTATCAACCCACAATGTCCGTCTCGTCCCCCAGAAAGGCCATAGAAGGTAACTTTAAACATTTCTAAATCCTCTCCTGGAAAAACAAGTGCCCCCCCGAAAAGTTGTTTCTGGATCCGCACTTGTAAACATCTGCTATACATGCACATGAATTATTCAAATTTGCCAGAGTGCTTCACGAACATTACAGTGAATGATGATAATGATAGCGACTGCCGACGATGGTTCTATTGTGAGACTTTCTCGATATTTTTACGTACCGTGCATGTCGTCAGACTAGATAACTGCAGTTGCATATATATCATAATTATAGTCTTGCACGGTATTAAAATGGGGGGGGGGGGGTTATGTCGAGAATCTCGTTGCAAACATGTCCATTATTGATGGCCTCTCCCCTTGACCGGACTCGACCTGTTTGTGCCGGCACATTTCCGGCGTATCAATGGCCAATTATTACGGAAACCCACTGTCACGGTGCTCTCTTGAATCATTCATTAGACGCCCTCTTGTCCGCTGGCTCCTAGTAGGGTGACATCTGGCACAGTTTCCTGACACATCCCTCAGGAGCGTCCGTAGTATTTTTTACCCCTGATGGCACGTCATCTGTCTATCATAGTTCGCTTAGCCTTACTTTCGCTTTACGGTAGTTCAGAGGTTCCTCACACTCAGTCGTCACTCTTTTCCCCAAAAGGCGCGTTTCAAATCAGAGCCAGATTATCTATTGGGCAAAATAGGCATTGTGCCTTGGGCCTACAAAAATACCTAAGAGGTTCCATAAATCACGAAAAAAAAGGAGGAAAATGGTTTCAAGTGAATGAAAAAATGGTGGATCCAGAACATACATTTTGTATGGACAAAACTTTTTGGGGGGGTGGGTGGTTGGAAGCAATGGAATTTTTCTATGCAACCTTTAATAGCCTTTCTGGGGTTTGGGCTAAATCTGGGGCCCAGGGAGGAAAGAATCTGAAGCTGTCTCACCAAAAATCGTCCCATTCTTACAACTTTTCAAAAATTAAACAATTCAAGGGGGTGGGATCGGATTGGTCTCTGTTGGCCCTCGTTGAATCTGCTAATGAATGATGACATGGCATCTTTTAAAGCCACCAAACGATTGTGGACACATCATCTATTCTGCGAACGCAGGTCACAAACAACTTTGGTGTCGGCTTCATGCATACCAAAATGATTTTGCTTGAGGGCCCATTATGATCCTCGTTTTTGTCCCTTCCATCTCACGGTTTTCCGATAGCTTGATTTTTACGGGCTTCACTTTCATTAAAATGGAGTTTGTCTGGTGGTATTAGGCAACAGAAGGAAAATAATTACCCCTGGTCCCAGGGGTATCGTGAAAGATGCCGCATCTTCAGTTCTCTTGCGGGCATGAGTCACTACTAGGCGGCGAACCTATTCGTGCTGCATTTAAGAATTAATGACTACAGATGCAAAGAGGCGAATATACCCACAAGTACAAGGCTTGAGGTGTTTGAAGCTTCCGGCCCAGGGAGGGGCAAATGCTATGTTTTAATGAAGCATGTTCCAGATTTGAAAGCCGCCAGAGGATGTTATGTATAAGGTGGTAATCCTTACAGATCTACCCTCTCCTAAAGTTGACCCATACCGTTTTACGAATTTTCTAAGAATACGCCTACTTCTTAACGCCATCAATCATGCGCTTTCAAGCAGCATCCTACACCGAGCTCCATGCAGCTGCTTTATTAAAAAATAATCGAACCACAGAAATAGATAAGTGACCGAAGCTGAAGGCGTGGTGTTTTGGCTGGTGATGTATTTTTTGTTGAGCAAATATTTTCTCTCCTTAGCAACTTTCGGTATTTAGGCAAATTTACCCCATGTCGCATCGGATCTTCCTGGACTGTTGGAGTAGAATTGACTGAGTGCAATTATCCAAACTATATTATTACTTGTGGGCCACATGGGGGGGGGCAGAAACACACCAAGCGTTAAAAATGCCCTTCACCTGAGAACCCTTCCTCTGATGTTACTTCCAACAGATATCATGTTTACTGTGTGTCTGTAAACACGCCCTCAGCCGGATCTGAAACAATGGGGAAGACTCACGGACGTATATAAAAAAAATCTGGACTCGAAATGTCCTTAACCAGCTTACAGAGATCATTGAATCCACTCGCGGCCATTTTACCGAGCCGAATGCAAAGCTTGCCCGGCAATGCCCGCCTTTGTTCTCCCTGGTGTCAATAGAAGCGAGCCAACCCGTGCATTTGTATTCGGCTCGGTAAAATGGCCGCTGGGTGGCTTCTATTTCATACAAAGGCGTTGCAAGTCCAGTTTTTTTTAATATACGTCCGTGGGAAGACTTCCAGTCCTTCGGAAAATCATCTTGAACCGAGCTTCCCGGAGGGGGAGTGTCGAACCCAGGTTGAATATTTACGGTACATCATTCCTGCCACTGTTTGTAGTGAGAATGGGGTTAGACAAAAATTAGCATTCGACCCGGTCTGACAAATGGATTTGGGACGGCGCATAAAGGGGCCTTCCGTCGGATTTCGGCAGTTTTATGGGGTCCAGTTTAATTAAAAGGGGCACTTGGGGACTACTTCTCTGAAGGAGAATCTCAGTCGATTTGATGGTGGCTTCCAACATCAAAAATCTGCTTGTGTCTTGTTTAAATCCTCCATTATTCTACCAGTCCATGTAAGTTTTGCGGGATAATTTCTATGGACACAAAATCCGTGTTTTCTTCCACAAAATCGAAAACAGGGCAATTTTAAAAACTTTTCTCTGTCATGTTTCGGACTGGGCGGTGGAATAAAAACGGTTTTTGTTTCTTTTATGAGTAGCCCCCCCCCTTAAAAGGGGGGGGGGTTGGTCGGAAATGAGAACCATAAAATTAAAAGGAAGGTACAGGCACATATGTTTTTCCAGACTAAAGACCAAACTTCAGGTTTCAACCTTGCCTCATAATTTATATTCATAACGACCGAGCGCTTTAAAGAAATAGCGTCCTCGCTCCATAAAACATTTTCTAGAAGGAAACCATGCATTACAATGAAAACCCATTATAGATAATGGAATAGGCCCTGGCCATAGAGTCCCCATTAAATAATCATTATTTTGCACCAACTTCATTGATCGTGGTCTGTCCCGTAGAAGCTTCTTTTTGTCAAATTGGACATTTTTCCCTTTTGCTTAATCACGACGCCGCCAACGCTTGAAATATATTGAAAGTAAGCAACTTAGCGATTTTTGGGGTTAATGTAGAAATGATGCTGGTTCGTCTTGGTGCTCTGAATGACTGCGTGATCTTAAGGATTTCAAACAAAGAAGTGGAGATTTGCTAACAAAAAAAAAAAAAAAAAAACACCTCCCGATATCTCACCAACACCATTTTGGTGAAGACAGTGAGTCTAGCGCAGGGGCTTGGGGTTCATTCAAGCATATGTAAAAATCGAACATTTTCTTTTCTGTTTAATTCTCCATGGAAATAAAAAATCCGTCCATTTTTGAAGCCCCATCATCTGCAAAAAATTTAACTAGACTTCATTAATTAAAGCATCTTATCTGAATGTATTTTGAACGCTGTAGTACCCTGTATTTTAGATATATCCTCGTTTAGCCTTCATGTGTGGAACAGCTTGTTACGCCTGAAACCTTTTTTCTTCAGAAAATATTACTGTTATGGTGTATCAGATTCAGAACTAATTTCTTTCAGGGAATCATTTTCCTCTGTGGGCATCGTCGGTGCCGCGCTGTCCCTCGTGTGCACAGACCTATGACGACAACCTCCTATGAGCAGGTTGATTTGGCCTGATGGCGCATCTCAGATCAAAATTGATTGAATATCAGAAGAAAGCCGTTACCCATAGTTAGCCGATAAAGCCACTTTGTTAAAAAATGGCAGCAACTCAGGCTTTATGTTTTATCTTATAATGCGAAAATGACATTGGTATACATATATACCATACTGATGAAACTCATGTATTGCATGCGACTCACTTGGAACGGAAACATGCAGTAATCAGAAGTCGACACTTCAATTTGCTCATTTTCTCATCCTCGTTTACAACTTGGAAGTTTAAGTTTACTCGTAAATCGATTAAGGAAAAATATTGATACGCCTAAATACTTTATCGCACATGACACTTCACGTTTTATCAATGCTTCCTTAATTGCCATGTTAAAGGAACCATTACCGAGTACCAGCTGGTAAGGGTCTGATGACACTGGTATAAAGTTGGACATAGATCTCGTTCTTGCAAATGAAATGTGCAACTGCAGCTTTTATATGTTAGTTGAAGGCCACATGTAACGTAAGAGAGAAACATTATTACTTTAAAATATCCACCAAAAGAGTGCCACATCTTTCAACAACCAGCAACTAGAACATTATCCTTCACTGGCTTATGACAGTTCAGGTAAACATTTCAAAATTGAACGCATTACATCTTGTTTTTTCATCAATTAAGGAGGGTGCAGAAAGGAAATGGGGGTATTGATGGACGACATTGATGCAGTGGCGTATTCAGGTCTGGGTCCAGGTCCGGATCTGGGAGGGGAGAGAAAATGGATTTGAAAAGAAAAAGGACGCCAGTTTTCTTCATTCGTTATTGAATCCTCACCCACGGAGAATTGGTATACCTCCTGAAAATGCTGTCACTTTTGACTTTACTTTCGTAATTATGCAGTATTGTATTAAAAGAGTAGCTGAGTATTGCATTACTTCACCTATAGCAAACTTTACAGATGCATGCAGGGAATGGGTTAAAATTGCCTCGTCAAGAATTTCGCATTAGGAGCTTTCTCCGTTTATGGTTCGATTCAGGTCTGGGACTTGATAAATAGATCTCCCTCTAATCCGCCAAAAATAGTAACCACAGATTCACGGCCTGTATATGCCGCGTGTGCGATATTTCTATAGGAAAGAGAAAGACAGTCCCTCAGATGAATCCTTCCCTTCCGATGCCCCGTCTGGATATTTGACTCCACCTGTGCAAACACAAAGATGATTACACGTCGTGTAGGTCCGGCACAAACGAACTATTGGAATAATGCATCAGAATTTCACGTAGAATGTCACAAACTGTTCGATTCCAATGAATATGAATATCCGCATGCTGTCGTTTCAAAAAAGTCAGGGATTAATTATTCGCTTGGTCATCCATCAGTAAAAAATTCTTTCAAACAGGTTTCATGCGACGATTAGGCCTACACCAAGAACGTCCGCGTAACTGTTTGTTTGTGACCGCGCGCTTGACATAGATACCATCTTTTGATATTTCCCTCCCTGATTTATAGCCATTTTTAATTGAAAGGAGTCCGGCTCGATCCCCCAAGCCCTGAATTCAATCGCGTCTGAAGAGAAACAGATGGCTGTTGGATACATCAAGATGCATTGACGTAAATCTGTGGCAAGCATCTGTGGCATGAGGGATGACCTGTAGGGCTGGGGTGGGGGGTTTAAACCACGTGACACCGTCATTCATATCCCTCAGCCAACCGAAAAGAATAAATAATAATTAAAAAAAATGAATATTTGTTGTTTTATAAATAAAACATATACCTACCAATCTATATGTCCGTAGTTTCTAGTCTTTTTTCAATGAAACCTATAAAATATGAAGGTATGATTGGCTCCTAGAATCGATATAAACTGAAATGGCTAAACTTCAGAATGTTGAAAAGCCATCCATATTGCGAAGAATGTCTTAATAATACCACGGTAGTCTTATCTCGTATTCCCTCCATTTATCTTTTCTACCACAAACCCTAAATCTCACGCTGATGTATATCATCATTTTGAGTTACTTTTTTTTAATACTTCTGTCTCTTAATTAATTGAATGAGGGTGATGTGTTTGCTTGGCACAGGAACTGGCGGATGGTCCTATGGTCCACCCCCCGACTGGGGGATATGTTCCTCTTCCCCTGGAATTTTACGCCGGTGTCACAGAGGAACGCTTCCCTTAAGAGAACCGCTTCGTGATTCTATACGATTCTTATTTCTGAATGACCGGTATTTTGGACTCATGACAGTAGAAAAAGACACATGTTTTTATTTCGCTAACCCTGTCTGCAATATAAACAGGAAAAAGAAAAGAAATATAAGGTAAAAGGGCACTCTCCGATTTTTTAAAAGAGAATGCGGGCATTTATAATGTCAGTTGTGACATATGCCAATCCGGCACTTGCAGTTATTTCCCGCAAAACTTAACTAGCTGATTTCAAGCGCACTGGTTTCTACAGCTATATTTTGAGAAATAATTTCGAGTGAACAAAATTATTTTGAGCGCACGAAATGATATATTTGGGGCACACGAGAGGAGTTCGAGCGCATGAAATGAAGAACTCAAATTATTTTTGTGTTCTGAATTTCTTTTCATGATAAGTCCTTTTAGGGGATCCGTACCATCCCTCCTCTGCTACCAGAAAGATATGAGAACCAAGGAATTTAAAAAGGAACATCCTAATGATGGAAGTAATACACGTGTACTACTTCTGAAAGAATAACTTGCTGTCATCAGTGATTAATGAACAACACTAGAACAATGCTTCTGTCTCTGGCCTTTCGTTCGGCCAATATCTCATATTATATAACCATTCATGTCCTTGTTGGCCTTCATGACCTATTAGTGGTGAGTGATTTCGACTCTTGTCCGCTGTGGTTGCAGTAAGAGGCCACCTTTTATACCTCTTATTAATCACTGTTTTGTGAACTACCTTTCCTTTTAAAACGACAGATTTGATTATCTGAAGTTTGAAGTTTGAAGCAGAGATCCAAAATCAAGACTTAAGCACTGTGCCCGATATTGTTACCCACGTATGAGTGATCGTTTGCTAATCAAAGTTGCAATGCGGCAATTCGTGCAATTTAGTTACCCCTAGACTTGTGCACAAAACTGGTGGCATCCTTGCCTTTTAATTTCAGGAAAACGCCGAAGGAAAAGCCACTATCAATTTTCGCTAACTAAAGGCGGTAAGGACGAGTGAATCATCAAGTTTGCCTGACACGCGAGACGACCAGCGCATCACATGGACACGCGCTTACCTTTGAGTTCATTTTGCTCGTTAATACCGAAGTGCATGTCTTCGTCAGTTTCTTCAGATATTTAAAGTGTTTCTCCGGGGTCAATCCATCTTTAATATAAACTTACGTCATTTATTCCGTCAACAGCAATCTTTCATGACGAACCGGCCCTCTCGACATGTCTTTTTTTTTCAGAAGTGACCATTCTTATCAGCAAATAGAGCAGCATTCAGCTTGCACCCAACACTTGGGTAATATTTTGCTTGTTGTTTGTTTGTTTGTTTGTTTGTTTGTTTGTTTGCTTGTATTTCGAAATAAACCAGAGAAGTACCAGCATGTCTGGGTTTTATCCCGTCTGACTCTTTTATGGAATTTTTTTAGGAGTCACTATTATAGTAATTCGCCAGCCAGAATGGAAAGCCATTACTTCGGCGGCATCTAGTGTGACGCTCGCGGACAGGTGGTACGCGCGCATTACATGCCTATTTGACCAATAGGATGTCTCGATTTGCCAAATGCAAATCGTGTCAAGCTGAAGAATGCGCGTATTATGATTGTCGTGCCACCCCAGGTATGACGTCTGATTGGATGGAGTCGTTGTTAGCAGACTAAATTACGAAATCGTATTAACGAGACGCCTGTAAGGGTCGTTAGATCCTTGAAAGGAGTCACACTTCTTTGTGCTCTGTAACTTGACCTTTGAGTGGATTCTGGAAAATGGGTATACGGGAGATTTTCAGGGGCGTAGCTAGACGCTGAGAATGAAGTCATTTTTAGACGTATTGGCAAGTTCCATTTATAGAGTGACACTACCACGCTTTCAGAATGAGTAAATAAAGCATTACATTTCAGAGGATTCTCTTTGGCCCGTCTCTGATTCCATGATTTTCAGCACAATAAAGCAAACCCTGTTACTAGCCATTAATAAACGATTCAACACACTTTAGTTCATTTTATTAAAAGGCTTGTAACATTTTGCCCCTGTTTTGTTGTTTTTGAAAGATTTTTTTGAAAGTCGTAGTTATCAACTATTTTTACAAAATGTAACTCATACAACAGATAGTACTATCCGCCCATCTAAACATAACTTCCAATGAATCGTAGTCCTACTTTCTAACTGTGACTGCCTTGTAGTAATTTCTACAGAAACTCGTCAGTTAAGTGTTGGAAACTAATGCGTTGTATAGAGTACCGAAGTGAATACGTCACGCGCACAATTAGTGTGTAAAAGGCAATAGCACGAGAACCAGCGCGTGAACCAACACGCGCGCGTACTCCATTCGTTTACACTGCACTTTCTGGTTCAAAGTGACGTCACACTTCGGTACTCTTGTCGGCACGTGATAGTCATTTCAAGTTCTTCATTTTTTCTTCTGTCCGACGACTTCAACATGGGCGCACGTATATACTCGGGGTGAAGAAGTGTGTCGGCACGTGACGGACGTCATACATGTACTGAGTATTAATTTACACTGAACACTGAATATTAATGTGTTAAAACTTCTGGCGAGGCAAAAACCGAGTTTCTAATAAGAGAACGGATAATTATACGATCTACAGATCTTCTCAGTTTTGAGACTAAGTTAACAGAAAGCTGAGGACCGAAGTCGGTGACATTTGAACAGGGCAATGTGATCATGACAACACTGGATAATCACCAGCAGTTCTCGTCAGGTATTCATAGTTACGTTCATCACAGCAATCATAGTGAATGTAACTAGGAACGTGCTTGCAATTCAGTGGCCTAAGACACTTGTCTAACCGTTAAGACCAGTCAGTTCGGGCCTCGGCAATTTAATAATTGTGTAATTTCCAGGGAGGAAAATATCACTCTGTCTCCTAATAAAACTGCAGAAGACAATAAGATTTTGAGTGACAGACTTCAATGTGAAAATGAAAGAATCTAAAAAAAGAGATGACTTGATATCTCACACTTAATGAATTTCACCCTTATCGTCTTGTTCTTAGTTTGAATAGGAGAGAGTGATTTTTGTGTGAGGGCATGCCAAATATCATTGTAAAATTAATACACTCTGTGCGAGCCTGTTGGACGCACGGTGTGGTAGATCTTCATGCTGCTCCCCGCTGAAGTTGAAGCAGTGAGGTTTGAGGACATCTGACGCGCGCGTTTGAAGACCGGTTGCCTTTCTGTTTCACCACCGTTCGCAGACCTGCTGCAGCGTCCAATCCCGAAGGTCTGACAGAATGCATCTCGGTACTGCGCACTCATACAGGTGTACACGAACGGGTTGACGGCAGCGTTGAGGTACGCCAACACCTTCGCCGATGATGTGAGACTTTGTCGTGTATCCTCGGGAAGGATGAACTCCCCGTTGTGTGCGAACGCTATCATGTAAAACAGACTTATCATTTCGAAGGGGGCTAAGCAGATAAAGAATACAGCACCGTTAACAATCAGCATGATGGCTATCTGGTTTCTCTGGCGAATGTTCTTCTTCTTTCTGCCCGCTATGCTGGTGTCCTTGATAGCACGGGTGATGCTGACGATGATGCGCAGGTAAAGATACACATTGATGGGAAAGATGAGAAGGAAGGGTATAGCCTGGGCCCCAGCACCGTATAAGATGGCCCAGTCTCCCACTGGCCCACAGTAGGCGAATTCACTCGGCCAGCTGTTGAACGGATCACCAGGAGGCCAAAAAGAGCAGACGACTACGTAATCCACGATGCAAGGGATGAAAGACACAGCGACACAGAACGCGACTATCCAGGAAGCCACCAGAAGACGGACGAACACCCGTCGGCGGGAATCACCCAGGGCTCGGTACGCCGAGCACACAGCGTAGAACTTCTCGAACGACACGAGGGTGATAGCCGCCAGGGAGAGGAGGTACGCCGTATCGCTGATGAGGTACACCGCGATGCAGCCGGCCAGGCCCAGCGAGCTGTCGTCGATGGTTATAGGACTGTTGGCATATTTGAGAAGTTTACTACCCACCGAGCCCATCAGGAACAACACATCAGCCACAGCTAGATTGGCCAGACAATAATTGGTGGAGGTCCTCATACGTTTCACATTGTATATCACGAGAAGAAATGCAACGTTACTCAGGACTCCCAATGCAAATAAAATTGGCAAAATGATGGTGAAATACAGCTTGTCCAAGTCGCTGTACAAATATCCTATCGCGTCCTCCTCGCTGAAGCTCAAGACAACATTGCAATCGCCAAAATCGTGGCAAGACATATAGCTGCAGTTCGACACCAGGGGCGCTAAAACAACCGAATTGTTCATGATTGGCTGAGAAATGCAGGCTTCCAGTTACTAAACACCAAAACCGACTGCAGTAATTATGTGAACATACTTCCCGCAAGCTGTCAAATCTCCTCAGGCAATTTCAACAAACCTCTTGATTCCTGAAGGAGTTCAGTTGTGAATGTCTACCTCAAAGATCATCGAGTCTCCAACCTAACGAGCTGCATATGAGCACTCGCAGGATGACGAGCAACGCTCTCTGACAGTGATCTGTCCATCGCTGATAATCTAGACACGTGTAGCGCAGCTGCGTCGTGGACCAGTCTGTGGCATTCTGATTCAGCCCGACCGTTTGTACGTGTTGCCGCCCACAGACAGGCCGCATCACTGATGCTTCGTCAAAAAGAATTGATGTAAATTTGCACTTCTCTGTCCGTGCATCGGTTGGGTCATTATCTCAGCAATGCAAATTAATTTTGCGAAAACACTGCCTTAAAGCCAATATCACGATAAAACTTTCATTACTGCTAAGTCCATGCCGTTGGCTTGACAACCTATTACACATGTATTTGACGTCAATACAGCAAGCTGTTCCAAACTTTGAAACGTCGGCTCAGTAAAGGCAACTTCAATCTGGCCTTTCGGTTCCAGCCATCCGGGTTACACGGATTAGATTACTGTCTCGAGCCAATTCTGAGCTCGGATATCCCGTTCTGTCTGTAAATGTTTATACAATTATGCTCACGCTATTGCACGATGTATTCATTAACCGATAGATTACTTCATAGTCTTACAATGGCCCAGGATATCAATGTACTTTTTCACTTCATACCATGACTATGGATGTCCTTCCTCTATGATTTAGAGAAGAACTTCCGTCTCATACACGCAGAACCTGATGGGAACAGTTATTGTGACTTGGCGTAGTGATACAACTCGAGAAACCCGAGGCTCGATGTTGCCCCGCGCTCTCGAGGTGACGCAAGGAGGTTGCCTGTATCACGGCCTCGACTCGTTCTCTAGGCCTAATTATGCCCAGTCTCAATTACGATCCGCTATTGCCCCAACCACCTTACATTCACAACGAGTCTTGCAGAATCATCAGCCAAATGAAAGTCAATGAGGGTTCAGCCTGGATGTAAGTCTTCCGGATATGACGTCATAGATCCTCGTGGAATTTTCAGTGGATAGAAAACGTGTGCACGGTTTTCATGAAATCCTTCATTATAATTCCAGACACCTTTGGTTGCTTTTTTTCCACGCTAACTTCAATGGAAAAATCGTAACAGTCACGAGATGGTTGATGCCTCTACCATTTTTCTAGATTACGCCAAATTACGGATATGAAACAGCCATGAAAACTGGTTTATCGCATTTGTATTAAAATCCCACTTCTGCAATTATTTATGGGCAAGATATAAATCGAATTTCTCCGGACCTAGCACATATTCAATAACGGAGTGTTTGTTTGATAAAAATGACACATGACTGGTCGGTGTGTCCGTAAACTCCCCTTAACTTCTTAACACCGACAGACTGGAAACACTTGAACAGCATGTACACGTACAACAGGCTGCACTGAACAACGCATGATGGAGAGATCGTCGCTCGACGATGCGGCCTAATTAGGTATGAAAGGTGGCGTTCAAACAATAACGCCCGGAAAGACATTTGCATGTTTCTAATCAACTTTCGCGACAGCCTTTGGCTCAATACACTCACCCATGGATCTCCCTCCATGCTCTGATTCACCGTGTCAGAAATATACTGCATGTTATGAAAACAGGGACCAACAGCCTGATATCGTTGAATCTTGAGCTTGCTTGCAATCATCGGGTGCATGGTGGATTACAAGGGAATGTGCGAGCATAAATTTAGGTCAAAAAATTGGCTCTTTCAAAGTGGTCAAAGCTCTTGTTTTCAGCATTTAAAAATCACTTATTTACAGGACTTTTAAGCAGCCGCATAGAAAGCACCTTCCCGACCGCAAGGGACAATTCTCAAAAGGGAAACCGACCCCTTCCACCCACCAATTAATGATGGGGATCTTTTTTTAAAGTGAGCAAAAATCCTCTATTATGTAAAAACTGAATCTGGCATGACAGTTTTTAAAATTTTCTACAAAAGTACCGGATTGCCGGTACACATTACTCGCAGCTTGTTCTTGGTCAAATCCATCAAGCCGGGCGCAGGGAACCAGATTTTTCTTTGAAGGCGCCAAGGGCGGAAAATTGAAAAGCGTCTGCAGATCTGGACATTATTTACACAAGGGACTCATTTTATTCTACTTTGCAGTGCTTTATCTTCACTTCTTTGTTTTTGCCGTGGGAGGTATACAGGCCCCCTGCCCGCCATCCCACTGATCAAATCCTCTTAAATGTTTGAATGCAAGAACTGCACGACAAAGAGCACTTAAGTGTTAACAGTGTCATACAGTTGCAGGCCGGTAAAGTGACCCCAAAGATCCAATGCACTAAAAGTTCGTGCCAAAAACTGTTTGTTGCCAAATAGTGCATGTCCGGTGAGCTCGCGCAGTAGACGCCGAACAGGATGCGCGTAATGCGTAATACAAAACACAACCATTTGGTGGAAATGGCGCATAAATATCTTACCATGAAGATTTTACAGCGCCCTCTGTTTTCATGGGGCGTCTAGTGAACGCAGCGCTCTCGTATCATGTGATCAGTCACATGCGCGCCTATGATGAATGATTTCGGGGTAATTTTTTTTTTTCTGATATCTATACACACGAAAGAAAACTATGTGTCAACTTGGTTCGGTTCGCGTATACACCGAGTACATATCCCTTTGTTTTGACCTATATTTTGCTGTAGAAAAAAAATTAGTAGAAAGGCAGTAATGATTGGCCGATTCTATTTGGTTTATAACGAAAACACACTACTAGAGCTTCAATTCAATGACTGCTGAACTTCAATTCCAAATCACCACTCCGTGTGTGATTCCTCTATGGAGTTCTCGTAGTAGGCCTATCACTAGAACTCAATACTAGGCTTACGCCGATTCCTTCTCAAAATTACTGAAACGGTCAAGCTAGAAGGAGAGGGATGTGTGCCGCTAGCTTATTTTCTACCCCACAGAAGACGAGTGTGACAGGTCGCTGATGACTTGCTCAAATCCTTCTTTTTAAAAGTTATATCATGTATATTGTGGTTTATAAAACTAGTATAACCATCAAAATCTAAAATCCAGTTAGGCCTATTGGTTCTTGGAATCTTGCCTCTCTTTTTATTTGAAACTATGCAAGCTTCATCTTGCAGACCTCGCCTTGAAGCTGGCTAAAGATGAGGACCATTCTCCTGCTTGTGAGTCTGTCACTGACTGTGCCAGCTGGGTATGGTTTAGACAATGGTTTGGCTCGCACCCCTCCTATGGGCTGGAATGCATGGGAGAGATTCCGATGCAATGTGGACTGTGACCCCGACCCCGACAATTGCATCAGGTATTGGAAACAAGATTTTAAATGTGATAAGGAAGAATTCCAATTTCCATATTTTTCCTGCTGTGAAATGTCAGGCATCACAAAGTGATTATATGTCCCAAAGAGTCAGATTTAGCAGGGAAAAAGTTTAAAGCATCTACTCAGAAAATGCCAGTCACATGGGGTTTGTCATGCACTGGTGTCAAGTGATGTCTAGGTAGTAGGTTGGACACTCTCCCATTTCTAAATCCTTGTAGTGGGGGACTTCCAGAGCTGCATAGTGAAGTGATGAATAGGTTGACATGGTGAAGTGAAGAACAGCTAATAGACTTTATGTTTGATACCTCAGATTTTGGTGTGATTGATGATACGTTGGCAACGTTTATGCTAGCAAGGGAAAAAAATAGGGAAAGTTTTGTTAATTTGAGGAGAGCGGCCTCGTTTTGATATAGAAAGAAAAGATCCCTCTTTGTCACATGTCTTGATATTGTGCACGTAAACAGTACTTACTAATTTGTTTTAACCTTTGTTTCATTCAGGGAAGAACTTTTCATGCAGATGGCCGATATAGTAGTGAGTCAAGGCTACAAAGAGGTAGGCTATGAGTTCATCAACATGGATGACTGCTGGATGTCAAAGGAGAGAGATGCTCAGGGCCGTCTACAGCCAGACCCCAAGAGGTTCCCAAGTGGGATCAAGAACTTGGCTGATTATGTAAGACCTAGCTGCCAACCTGGTTTTATGTAGCTGGTAAGGTGGACACATTGCCTAGGAAATGATTTGGCACGACAAAAGCAGGCTGAAAATCAGTTACAATGATATAGGACACCCAGCATGTTGGTTTGTGACTGGCTTATGCTGGGCAAAATGTGTTCTGCTGTTAGCATTTTTCTGTGTTAACGTTTCCATGAAATGAGTCAGGGCTGTCTATAGTAATGTGCGGCACAGAGAGAAGTGTATCATATAAGCTCAGCATAGAACTGTTCAGCTTATCATTATGTCCAATAACTTAACTGAACATTGGCTTCACCCCTGCTACTGTTTGTGGTATTGCCTGTGATGGTGCTGCCGAAACTTGGAAGGTTTGATGCAGCACTTTGAGTATTAATAAGGAAGGTATTGAAAGATATGCTCAGACATATACACACATGTAGTCAGTTGGCACTTGTGAGGTGAGAGGTAAAAGATTTTGAGAGGAGATACTACTAGGGCTGGGGGTTAGTCTGAGTAGGGTCTGTTGTAAGTACTGCCAAACAAAGATCAGTATAATAGATTGATTGGTCACCATTTCAAATTTAAGAATCTGATTCATATTCATTGTGACAAAGATTCGCAATACCACCATGTTAAATTTGTGAGGGATTAAGGTTCTGAATCGAACTGTCACCCTCAAATGTTTAGGATAGTGGGCTCGATGGACCAAGCGTACTGTCTGCAACTAAGAGTCCACCGATTCTCTTCAGATTCCTTGAGAATTGTGTCTCGTCAGGACTTTACTCACCAAAGAGTTTTCACATGGTACTGCTGTAAAACATTGTCACATTGCTACTGTCCGCCATACAGACAGGTTTAAAAAAATTTGTCAGCAATTTTCCTTTGACAATTCTCATAGGTCCACTCCAAGGGGCTGAAGTTTGGCTTGTATCAGGACATGGGCACCCAGACATGTGACGGCTACCCTGGGATTTGGGGTCACATTGAAACAGATGTTCAAACTTACGTTGAATGGGGCGTCGACTATGTCAAGATGGACGGTTGCCACAATTTGGGCCCTGTCTTGTTTGGAGAAGGTAATAGACAAATGCTGGATGTTGGTGGCAGAAACAGGTTTCACTGGTTCTTTTAATTGAATTTTGTTACAAAACTCAATGTTGCTGGCTGGCAAGTTTATTTTTCTTTTTACAGTGGCCGAAGAAGTCACAACTTTGCTGTTGCGGCTGTTGCTATGCTATGGACATTTTCTCTATTGGTGATCCTCTACAGGTTTTGTTAATATGTCCCATGCTCTCAACAAGACTGGTCGCCCGATTGTCTTTTCATGTGAGTGGGGCTTCGACATGAGGGAACACAATGTGAGTCAGTAGGGTCCAGAGTGCTTGATTTTTTGAAAGTTGAAGTGAAGAGTTCATTTTCATTTTGAAACTGAGCCTGGATTTGCCAGCACAAAACTTTGGCTCCAAGTTGGGTTTCAATCTTAGCTCCACCCACATCATGCACATGTATATTCGTTAAAGTTTGTTACCTAAAGCAAAAATCGTCTGACAACTTTTGATTGAATACTTCTAACATGGTGCTCAGTTTTTCAGTATGCTTTCAAGAAATGATATCAAAGATGAAATTTGATAGACGACTTGTACCCTGAAAATTGTTTTTAAAAATACTTATAGTTCATAACATTGAGGGCCTACTCTTGGTCCTGAGGGAACCAATAATCTGTTTTTTTGTTATTATTAATTCCACCCAGCCAAATTACACTGAGATTGCAGTTTACTGCAACAGCATGCGGCAGTATCTTGATGTGCAGGACTCATGGGAGCAAGTTCTCACCATACTGAACTGGTACACCTTCTTTCAGGAAATTATGGCCAAGGTCAACGGGCCGGGGAATTTCATTGATATGGACTTTGTGAGTATTGAAGAAACAAACAGAAGTCTTCCAAGAATCGCAGGCTGATTTTTGTCTGATCTCTGCTTCCCTGGACTTTCCTAGAGGTCAAGCTTGGACCAAAGATGTAGAGTTGCTAACCACATGAAAAAGTTGCTGTGTGTGTTAATGTGATGATGGTCATGCTCGGCCTACACTCTCCGGCCAATGTTTCGTTGCCTTATTAAAGTGTAGTGGATGGTAGAAGTGTCTACTGTAACATTAAATTGGGATATACACGTCAACTATGTGGTCGTACTTCCCATTTTCACAGGAATTGATGTGACGCATTCTTGTTTTTGTAGTTCAAGTGCAAATGTTGAAGATGGGTGGGTGATCTTTGCAGATTTGCAGCAATAAAACAGACTTTTGCAGGGTGCAACTGGAATCTCATGTGAGCCTGCTTTCCTTCCCCTGTCACCCGCCTCAACCCCCTTTCCCTTTAAGAAGAAATACCAGACCCTCGCTCCCCAGCCTCCCTCATATGAACCACTTCCAACCTGATAATGTGTGAATTTGCAGGGATTTAATATTACAGGCTGTTTTCAATATTTCCTGTGAGGAGTTCTTTACAGTTAGTTTATACGAGCAGGCTGTTGTCAGAGAAAAGAAGAAGGATGGAAATGTTAAATATGGATCAGATTTTCTTTATTTTTGAGATTTGAGTAATTTTATTACAGTTTCAAAATAAGGCATTGTTCAGTTTTCTTGTAACAGATTATAGTCGGAGACTTTGCTCTGAGCTATGAGCAAGCACAGTCTCAGATGGCGCTGTGGTCCATCATGTCATCTGCGCTGCTCATGTCCAGCGACCTTCGGAAGATGGATCCGAAGATGAAGGCCATTCTCCAGAACCGTGAGGTCATCGCCATCAACCAGGACAAACTGGGCAAGATGGGCATCATGATACACAGCGTAAGTGTAAAAAGTGCATCAAAACCTTTTGCCAAAATGGTTCATCAGGCTGGTGTTCATCTGCATTTTCCTCAGTGTGAAATGACCGTAAACTGTATCTCCATTTCTCCTGAATAGAATGGTGTCCATTGCAGATTACTCACCAGCTAATGGACGCACCCATTTACACTTCTGGTTGCAGGATGGTTGGTTAATTGGGGCAAAATAGCTTGCTCAAGAACAAAACATGTGGCCCCCCAGCTGGTCAAAAATCTTCAATGGCAACAGAATCACAAATCCTACAGTAGGCCACACAATCCACAGTTCAAGGCCATGTATACCTGTATGTACATGTACGTGTATACATAGACCTTCACCCAAGGTCTTTCTCTAAAATAGTTTAATGTGACACTGCTGAATGGAAAAAGTAGTCAAGGGTTGTTGTTTAGTGGGTTATGTTAACTGGTTCATAGAGTACTATTTGTAGAGCCCCTTCCTGGCATAGTCCCTCTGGAGGGAAATTGCTACAGAAAACAATCTCCCCCAATAAAAAGTGGAATAGGCCAAAGATAGCAGGGAGCACCTGTGAGTGTGCCTAATTAAGTTTCATATACAATGTACATGTATTTTGCCAAAGTAATTGGACATCTTTAATAATGGTCGTCCTCAGTTATTGTCCTATCCAGGTCTGAGCTGATTTCTTTCTTTTAGATGTAGTTTCCAGAAGCTTAATTTCTGTTGATAAGTTGGCTGAATTAGTCCAATTTTATTATTCTCTGCCCAAGCTATAAATTGACTGATAATTGAACGGAGTTAATTGATGAAATATTATTACTGACTGACATGATTGGTTTTGTTTTGTGATTGTTATATTGAATGTAATATTTTCAATAGCTTTGCATAGATGGGACATGATATTTTGTCTCGCAAATACGCTATTTGCTCATGCAAAGTACATGTACATGTACTTTAAGTCATGAACTATACTTTGCACTGCCAGGGTAATGTGGGTTTTAACTGCAAAGTTCCTGAAAGTTTGAGAACATACAGGGAAAATTCATGATTCTCATTACAAACAATTGACTAATTTCTTGTACATCGATTAGGTATGGTTAAGTAAATTGTCGTGCTAGATTAATTTATAGAGTGAATGAAAGTTTTACTTTGAGGCCACACAAACTTTCCATTATGCCCAGTGCTTGCCCAGAGACAAGCTGAAGCAGGGCACGGTCAAGTGCACTGGGAACAATATATACAGGCATACAGTGGAAAGTTGCTGCATAATGAAGGAGGTGGCCAGCTTGTGTGACCCCATGGACTTAGCTAGGAGCCCCCGGTCGCTAGCTAGGGGCAAGAGTTTACAAAGTTATGTTCCCCTTGAGGTTATACATGCAGTGTATTGGGCTACGAACTAGTTCTAAAGTGGTGTTTGTCATTAAGTCTCGGTTTAATGGCTATACTGATTTGATATTTATATAGTTACAGAAAATCAACTATTATTCTTTCTTTCTTTGTGTGTTTGATTATATTTACTTTCATATATTTTGCCAAAGTAATCGGACATCCTCAATAGGGTCTTCTGTCTTTGTCGTATCCAGATGCACTATTAAATATGACCAAAGAATAGATGTCATCAATGACAAATGAAGTTTGGGTGTAAAGTATGGTGTCAAAACATTATGAATATTCTAATATCACGATTCTTGCTTCCCGCAAACAACTTTTTTGCCGACCAGTGTGTCAGCAGAATTGACCTTATTCACTAGCTGGCCTTATTGAAGTCAAAGCAAGGTTAACTATTTTGTTATGGGAAGCTTAAAATAAACGTGAAAGTAATGGAATAAAAGTTCATGACAGATTAACTTTATTGGCGGTGATGAATAATTTAAAAGTTTTGACTTATTTATCTAAATGTTTTAAGCAACATATTAAAAAAGTGAAAGTGGGCAGTGGAACCCAAAATAGTCTGACTTCGATACATTGAATAAGATAGATTGAAGGAACATCATTAAAATGGCTTCCTTGTGAATAAGGTCTATTATCACTGTATAAACATTGTACTGCAGTTAATAAATCAAGGATTTTAGTTTGAAGATGTGGCTACTTTGCTCACTCTTCTAGTTCTGTCTCTTGCAGTGCAGTTACATGAAATGATTTTTTTTTCTTTCTGAAAATAGGAATCCCACTTTGAGGTGTGGACCAAAGTGCTGGACAAAGGTTGCTTTGCCGCGGTCATTTTCAGTCGGGCTACTGATATGCCGCACAATTTCACGACGACCATGACAGATCTGGGATACCCCAATACCCCATTCTACGTCCGTGATGTCATCAACCATAGGAACCTAGGAATCTTCATCAAGTATGACCCACTGAATGTCAAAGTTAACCCTGGTGGAGTTGTGATGATTAAGGCTGAACCAGTCAAAAAGAGGACCTTTAAGGTTTATTAAGAGGGCTTTTGGCAGACTTGAACTCGCAAGGAGACCAGGAGACAAGGAGGATAGGAGACCAGGCGAGAGGTGCAACCGCTGGTGTATGTGGTTTCCTGTCCAGTCGCTTTGCAGTTACACACACAGAGCCGCGAAGGCCTTGACAAAAGGCTAGCTATGGTCAAAAATATAAAAAATGTTAAAAAGGATATAATGTACCAATTTTTATAAATGCAATTAAATCAATTTTAATAAAAAACAGTAAACATTCATAAATGAAAAGGTTTAAGGTTGAAGGGTGTGATCACGGATTGGGATGTTGTTTTGCATACATTTTGTTCTGCAACAAAATTCAGGAATTATAAGTGTGTCATTAAGTGATCCAGTATTCTATGCAACTAGGAGGACTTCTTGAAATTGAGCTTTCCACTAATGTTTAAAATATATAATACATTAAAGATATTAAGAAGTCTTGATGGGTCAAGAGCAATATCTGACTCCTTATAAGCTGGCCTGATTGCTTTTTTCCTTCAAAAAGAAGCATGTAGTATTATAAATGTAAAAGGAGATTTTGCTTTTTTTCAGAAATTCACAATGTTCAACTCTTCTCTGTTATACCATAGAGGAAGGCTGTTCTGACTGCATTTGCAGACACAATGTACAGAAGACCGTACATTTTGGTGTTGCACTCCACAAGTCTTGCTTCATTTACGATGTTTATGTTTGTGTATGTGGCAAAGCCAGAAATTAGTTAGTAATTAAAAACACCCTTTTTTACATAGTAGCAGCTCCCCTTTAAAAATCTTCAATTTAGTTTAGAGTCCCCCTTCTTTTTCCTAGTAATGTGCTCCCTGTGTTTTGTATCGTGTCTGATGTAATTGTCTGTATATTTTGTAACAGTCTTTGTTCGTGTGTAAGACTGAAATAACCCACATATAATGGTACTTTCTTTAAGACAAGTTGATTGAATAGATGGGTTCTATAATAGTTATTGATCACTTGCAGCTGGGGGGGGCAGGGGAAGTGTCCCCTTTAGATGAGGGGGGATATGACACCCACTATTTGCAAATCCTATAATTCTTTTTTCTTCATGGATCCTTCTATTAATGAATGATGTTTGATGCTTTCGCAACAGGCCCCAGACTTTGAAAATCGTTTTGGTTGATATCCTATGCCATATCATTCAAAACTACAGTTTAATGTTCTCTTTCACACTGCGTTCGTTGTTTCTCTTTCGGCATAAATTCAAAGCAATTTTTAAATATCAATAGCTGTTTACCATTAACATGCCGCGAACACAGTTATGTCATACACGTTAGTAATCATTCAGTGTTATCCGCATACAAATCATTTTTGTTTCATTGGGAGCATAAATTTTTTGTACTTCATTTTCTGCATTCCACCAAAGGGACAAACTTCAATTTGTGGACACCCAGCGACGGTTCAATATCATATTTGTTCAGTATTTCATTTGTATTTGCAGAAACTTCTTCTACCAAAGTTATCTTTTTTTTATTGGGAGAAATAAAATTGAAACAGATAAGCAACGTCTATAGCCTGTGGACTTTTCCTTTATTATCTGGATTCTTGTCAACATGTTTATTTATATCACCCGTGTCAGTCCATTTTTGCTGGGATGGATCCATGGGCGAGGGTAGGAGGGCAGTTACTGGGACCATTGGTCCCCCCTAAATGTTTTTGTTTGAAAAATAATCAGGGAATTTTTGGGTTTATATATTTGTTTAAATTCTGTTTCCCTTCCTTCAAAAAGCATGTAGAAAACTAAAATAAAAGTAGCCTCATCCCTCAGAGAGGCCATAAAAGATTAGATGAAAAGTTTCCAAAATTTTTTGCCCTGTGAAAACGTGTTTGGTCTTTACCGCAATTTGTTCTGGATCCATCCCTGCGTTTTTGAAATTAAACTTTAATTTCAAATGATGTAAAGCCCCCTTTTATTGATTGCAATACAAAGCTTTTTTATTTCGCTTTAAGATGCATGGAATGCATTGGAGAGGCAAGTTAGTACTAACAGGCTTCAAATACTTCACTTGGATTTAAAGAAAATGCCTGTAACCTTTTGACAAATTCAGTTTGCCATAATGATAACTTTCAACTGAGAGCATTTTTGTTCAACTTTCCTGCCTTAAATGTATGAAAATTATTTCGATATCCCCTCTTGGTTAATTTCATTGAAACCTGTCTAAACATTCAAAAATTTCAAAGGTTTTTCCTCCTCAAAGATGAGGGCGCTGCGTTTTAGCAGCGATTTGGGGCAATTTTACGACGTACGACTGCTCGCTGTTATTTAAAATTACACACATACAACAGTCATCGGAAATCACTGTTACCAGGAAACGTGCGTACGTAAACATAGCTGCGCTCAATCGTACAGCTCAGGCATCATGCATGCAAAGGGTGAGGCTTGGCGCGTTTAGTCTGAAGACGAATTTTAAAGCACAAATCGAGTCAGAAAGCGTAAAATTCGTCGACTGTTTACACTGAGGCTTCTGAATGAGTAACAGAAAATGACGGCACTACCGCGAGAGGTGTTCAAATGGTTGCAGAGCCTGGATCTTACTTTCCCAATCAGAAATGTGCGAAGGTGAGTAGGCTATAGCTACATGTATATAACGTTAAACGATTCAAGTTGGGGTCATGGGCCTCTGTAAATTTCAGTCCACGTACACAGTTGCCTCTTCCATGTCTTCAGAGACCGCGATTGGTATTTTCTGATAACTATTTCCCTTCCATGTTTGTCTCCTTTCAGAGATTTATCTAATGGTTACATCGTGGCTGAGATCTTCTCTTGGTACTTCCCTCAAGATATCCAGATGCATAATTATGACAACTGCAGTGGCCTGCCCGGTAAACTAGGAAATTGGTCACAACTCAAAACGGTAATGGAATGCATATTAACAAACACAACACCCCCGATCCTCATCTCATATTTTACTGTTGGAGGTGCATGTGATCAATGAAAGTCTCAAACCAATGAAAGCAAATTTTACATTATGCTATCAGAGACTAAAAAATAAAAATTTGTTATAAAATCCATGTTCGAAAAAGCCTGAATTTCAAATCAGGCATTTCATGACACCTCTAAACCGAATGTTTTTTTTTTCACTTTTAATGCAACCATACGCATGAAGCCAAACCACGATGGTTGTGTTTGTATTGCGCTTGCCCAATGTGTATTATTAGACTTGCGTTGCAGCCGTTCATCGTTATATCAACAGTAAAAACACCATCAATTTGTGTGAATTGCGGTAGTCAAGTGGTTACAGCATAATGGTTTGTGATGCATGGGGTGTGGGTTCGAATCACGGGTGGGAAGCAGGGAGGTTTTTTTTTAAAGGAAAATAAAGCCTGAATGTTATTAGAGCCTAATTTCACACGTGAAGTTTATATGGTTGGTTGAGCATCTGGATGTCATGCATTGCGCATGGTTGTGAACTGTGGTTTGGGTTCATACGTGTGATTGCATATATAGCTCAAAGTTACATGAGATGTAGGATTGTGGGTACACCATGGAATCAATATCTTTTGGAAAATGTGTGGTTCTTAGAAGAACCGGTGAGTGTTAACTCACGAAGGTGTGTGAGAGATGAGTAAGATGAGTAACTGACTCCAAAGAAGAATCTGAGAAGCCAGCAAGATTTTCCGGCACAACACCGTCCCCCAAGACATCAGTTTCAAGCTCAGCAATATCTAGCACGCACTACCAGCATGCAAGATAACTCCCACCCCCAGGCATTAGGGTCCCCTATACCTGACACCCATATCACCCACCCTAAGCATTAGGGCCTTCTCTAACCGAAGCCACAGCCCCCTCCTTCCCCTTGGCATAAGGTCCCCTATACCCAAACCCAAGGTTTCCTGCCAATTCTGTATCCCCGCACCACCACAGGATCCAACACCTCATGCCCCAGTGCACACACAGCAGTTACACAGCCTGCGAATCCTGTTTCATGCCCTGTCGCTTCCGGATTACCTTTATAACTTAGCTTTCCACTTGAGTCTGGTACACTCTCCTGAGGACGGCCAGAGCATCCTGGCCGAAACGTCGACTTGACACTCACCGGTTCTTCTAAAAACCACACCTCTTCCAAAGGAGATTGTGTCCATGGTGTACCCGCAAGCCTGTATCTCAAAGTGTACATTGTGACATAGTATTGTGAATTGGCAGTTAACAAGAAATTGTATGAGAAAAATTTGTAGAAATTGATTTGTATCAACAATATTATCATTGGAATATAGGGATGGCTTATATCTGATGTTCAGGATTCTCTCAGTGGACACTACTTCTTGTGTACAATCTAATGGTTAAGATGGGCTAATGAGTACATAGTGCTTGTGGTTTGTGTAGACATGTGATACACACCATGTTAAAGAGTGACACCATTCCCAACAGTTTCTGTTCATAGTTAATGGTTGTGTTTTAAGATTTAAGGATTTCTTCTCCTTTTTTGTCAATAGTTTTTCAAGAGGCGAAATATTGAGATTCCTGAAGAGTTGATTGATGGGACCCTTCACTGTAAAACAGATGCAGCGGAGCTGTTAGTGCAGTTCCTCTACACCAAGCTCACCAACAGGAAGTAAGTCCTTGTTAGCATGGATTTCTCTTGATTGAAATCCTGTAGAGTTTGTACACAAACCCCTGTTACTAAATCCTGCAAAATGAGCCATAAGAGTTGTAGGACTATACTTATTGCAACATCTTTCTTTGTTTCATTGTTTTATTTTAACATGTATCTTTATCAGATCAGTCTCACAATTTCCTATTAAAATCACATGTCTTCTACAAGAATCTAGCTTTGGCAATGCAACTTTTGGAGCCAACATTAAGCAACAAGATGTGCCAAATGCCGGAACAATTTGTGCAGTTGAAAAAAGGTTCCCATGGGAACTGTAAAACCTGGTTTCCATATCAACGTAAGAAATGAAGAGCAGAGCAACACAATCAAGACGCAACTGCAAAGCAGACATATGGAAACATGTTAAAAGGAGGTGTCACCAGCCCACGAATGATCGGCAAAGTTGAGCCCGGTTCAACTTTGCCGACTCTCTGCGTTGAGTTGCTGAGTAGGCCTATACAAACACACATGCTGGCATGACGGGCGTACACCGATATTTGTCTTGCTTGGTACCACTCATTTTGCCCATTTTCTCCTTATTGCTAGCATATGCAGCCCCATTTGTCACCAAATAGCTGACCATTAACTAATTACATCAAATTGGAGTATCAGTTTGGCTTCAAGAAGCAACATTGCCACCTAAAAAATGCATTTTTTGCAAAAAGTGGTGGAATGACGTTGTGCAGTGTCTCTTCCGCGAATGTCTTCATCTTGACGTCTTGCGGACCGTCTGTGTTACAAACGACCATATGGAAACCAGGCTTTTTTGTGTTCACACTTTTATGTTGGCTAATTTTATTGGGCCAGCATGAATCTCAGCATGTAATTGAAAGTTTTCAAAATGATTGGCTTGAGTTAAATGTTACTTTGGCAGGTTCCCCCTACTGCTTATTAATTGTAGTCTGACATCAGCCTGTTTTCTGAATACTCAAGATTACCCTATATAAATCTGCAAAAAAATAGAAATTTTGGGGATGATTTTTAGGGTGAAAAGACTTGCCTTGGGTCACGATATTGACTTCACGGACCACGCCTACCAGCTTCAGCTACCAATGCACGCACGATCGACAGCTTCTACTGCGGTCAAGACCAACCTGAAAATCACAGAGTTCCAGACTGCACCCAATATCATCACCTGTCAACAAAAGGTGAGTGTGGGAGAGTTTGGACTCGTTTACTTGGAGTAAAAAAATATCAGACTCGAAGCTTGCCAAAGTGTGAACAAGCATTCCTTCCAAAAAAGATGGGCAAGTGAAATATCTTTTCACCTGCAACTTTTGCACCCATGTGAAATGTGTGGATAGAAATTCAAGGCACCAAATTTCTGTTTCTGTAGATAAGCGAAACTGCTTGCAATAAGCTACTTCCAGTGGTTCAACTTGGTAAAATATGCCTAGCTTGTCTGAGTGCTTGGAATTATTAATCGGTTTGTTTGATTTGCAGTTGAAGTAATGGACAAAAATGTATCTAACATTTGAATTGAGGCCTCTGACTCTGCTTGTTAAATGCTAAAGGCTTCACCCTTGCCTTCTGTAAAGTTTAGGGATTTCTGTTGTCTGCAATGGAGCAAGAAAAATCTGCCTGATTTTGTTCAATTGAGTTCCTATCAGCTGGATGTCTTAAATAGAATTATCAGTAGGGACAAGACAATTGGCTGTAGTGTAGGTTATACCAACGTAAATAAAACTGAGATCTCACATCCTTGTGCTCAAGCTAAGAAATCTTTACATTTGGCCAAAGCATTTGTTTCGCAGTCTGAAAACAGAATTGGTTGGATAATTGGTACATGTATGTGGCACATTCTCCGAGTTACTGGAGCAGTGAAAAATAACCCCTTTATCTTCTGATCTCAGTTGTAAAGAGTTTAGCATTATATCACATTATCAAACATTTGAATTGCTGGCATTTATGGTACCCTGAACTTTCAACGATTCTGCCCAATTTGAATTTCACCACACTTCTTGCTAGTCACTCGATCATCAATTTGTTTCTCTCGTTACTTGATCAGGCCCAGGAGATCATCCATAAACACATCCAGCACCGGCAGGAGGAGCGACTGGAAGATCCTGAACATTTTGACATCAAGCCCACCATCGGTCAGAAGTGTGTCCGCCGGCCCCCACCGGCCAATACCTACACTGGGGAGGATGTGGGATGGAAGGACCAGTCGCAAGCTGTCAGCCGCAAACAGAACACATCCACAAGTACGTTTGTTTGATCGCTTCGGTGATAGACCTATCTCTGGCAGTATCCAGGGCCTAGTGTCATTGAGCTGCCATGCATAAAATACTACCTAGCAGAGCTAGGTGCATAGCATGACATCAGCTGAGAACCAGTCACAGGCAATACGCAGTGCAAACAGTTTGGCCGGTAATCGTGCTTCCAAAGCAGATGTATACGCGTATTTCACATGCCTATCAGACATGCGCACTCTGTGGCACAATGAAATTAGCTTCCAGATTGAAGCTTGGCTGACTTGACAACCTGCAAAAGCAGCCAGTGCCTGCAAATCCTGCCCACAATGAAGGGGTGTGTGTGTGTGTTTTTGGAGAAAATCAAAGTGTGTGACCTAGATTGCGAACAGTAGGTTTGCAGGTGGACAGGAATGTAGTATGGAGGATTTGCCTGAATGCCATGCAGATATGTTTCCCTTTTTTTTTTAAATGAGTTGTATGGTTCTGAGACCCTGTTGTTTCAGTAGACAAATCAAAAAATGTACCACATGTAACCCAACTCAGAAAAAGTGACAAAAGTTACTCGAGCTGCTTTTGGATGACTACTCTGAAATCTTTAAAAGTAAAACTGGCTCAATTAAAATCATTACGAGCTGTCAACTTCCTCATTTAGGCCAAATGGCATCAAGATATTGCACTGCACAGGATACGAAAAGAATAGCTTTGTGTACTCTAATGTAAATGGAATATATGGAAAAAATTATTGTAAAGCTCATGATATGGGACCTTTTCATGTACTGAAAGAGTAAGTTTGCACCTTGCCTTTGTTTAAGTTGATTTACCTTTGCAAAATGCTAACAAGGTTGTGTACATGTATATCCATGCCAGTTTCATCCAAGACGTCTATTATCAGAAAAGAAATTAAGAACTAGAGCCCAACTCCTTACACCATAGTAAATGAAACAAAAATATATTTTGATTAGTTGCATAGTTGATCTTTTCACTGAAAATGAAGAGTTTTTCCGTGGTTTCCTGTATTTTTTCTTGCCTATCCTCACAGAAAATTGGCTCTATCATTCCCTCCTTCATCCTACATCCTCTTATGTACTTTACATTTTTCTGTCCACTGCCACAGGGAAACGTAGCCCAGAAGTTCCGTCCAATGCCAAATTGCCTTCTGCCACCAATGTTACCTTCCGTGAGATCCGGGTCAGCCAGATGGACCACACCTCCCAGCCCGCCTTATACCCCGTTGCTAGCCTGTCCTCAAGTCCCGTACTTCCACCCATCGGTAGTCAGTCATGATGGCAGCAATAACCAAGACACTGTGTCAGACGTTTTGTCTATGGCTCTGGCTGTTTGTCACAGGTCCCCAGCTGTCAGTAGCCACAGCCATAGGCAAGAATGCCCAGTTTGGGTAAAATGTTGGAATGGTTCCACATTGGCTGCATCATAAGAAGTTGAAACGAAGAGTTGAGGCTCCACCATGACTTGGCGACAGGCTTCTTACCACTAACTTGCTCATACCTGCTTTGGAAATCTCAAGTTTTATAATGCAACACTTACAACTGGGCTAAAATTGGACTTGAAACCATTTTATCATGAAGAGATTTTGGGGGGGCATTGTAAAGCTTTTAACTCAAATGGAGCCTTTTTAAAATGCAGCAGTTTGTGTACCAAATATTAGAATTTTGTGTTCATTTTGATGAAAAGACAGCTAAAATTTATTCCTACTGTAAATATACCTGTTTTCCCTACTACCAAGAATGGTGTCCTAAGCTTAATCCAGATACACTACACTGTTTCGAACAGTGTACTCTGTCCGTCTTCAGGAGACTGTCCGTCTCCTGAAGACGGACAGAGTACACAGGTCGAAACGTCGAGTCATTCCCCGGTTCTTCTCAGAACCACACATACTCAAGAAAGAGATTGATCCATGGTGTAATCGCAATCGTTTCACTCGTATAGTTCTTTCACCGTGAAAACCTTCAAGTCTTACAGTTGTAGTTTCAGTTCAAACTCTGATTGTTGGAACTCTTACCCTAATGCAATTTGGACGTTCATTCATTCTGTAAAATAAGATACTTAGATTAATAAGAAATTATATGTGATTTATTTAAACTCTTATTTTTTGGTTCAACTTGTTGCCAGCATGTTAATAAAGTTGGTTTTGTATAGCACTTTCATTTGTCATCAGTGTTGCAATTTTTAAAAGACATTGTACCATAAATTAACAGCAGAATCATGAACAGAAATAATTTGAATTGCCTTGAATATCAAATCAGTTTTATTGTGCATGTCCTTGCATCATCACTTGCTCTGCTGTTTTGACTGAAAATAGACTTTTACTTTAAAAAGTTGACAGTAACTTTGGCACAAATAAACTGCTACAAATCAAGAGACTTCAATCTTCAAGCTTAACCCGCAGGCATCTAGGAAACTGAACTCAGACCAAGCGAAATTGTACTTGAATTGACTGTGTGTCTTGCAGTAACAAATATTAAGTCCTGAAGTCCTACCCCAGAACAGATTTTTTTTTTCAGATAAACTTGACAATTCGACATAAAGTACCCATTCATTCAAGGTAACAGCTGATTCCATTTAATTGTTACCACTTGCAGGTGAAATGTTTCCTCACTCAACATAAAACGAAGAACACACAGTTTTAAGGGAAATGAAAATTATGGTGAAATTTAAGAAAAATTAAGCTCTAAATTTCCACTAAGTTACAAAAAGGGGAACACTTCTCTACCTCTTTAAAAAAAAATCTCCCAAGAGGGACCTTGTGACCCAAATGCCTCTGAAATCACGTGATTTGATTGCATCTCGTCATCGAGATCCATTGACTTCACCTAACTTTCCCTGACCTACTTGTAGAGGGGGGTGTCAATCATGGGATCGTCCTGGCAGTGACTGAAATGGGGGGGGGGTAAATATCCATCCTCATGTTTGTGCACGCAATCTCTACTCCCCTGTAAAATAGTCTCTCTCTCCCCTTTGGAGAGTGTAGCAGGCCACGGATGGATGGGGGGGGGGTTCATAAATTATGGTGAAGCAAGTAAATGCAAATGACACGAAGGTCAGTTGCTTGCTGTGCTGAACTTAGTGTGTGTTTCTTATCCAACATGGCTTCGATAAGTGTAAATCCTCACGCTGCTCTCGCTGCAACATTATTGCAAGAAAATGAGGATGATTCCTGTTCAGATGTCTCGATGGCATCTGAACAAAGTGGAGACGGTTTCCCGTCGGATACCAGTACCAGCGATGATGATTGGAGTAGCAGCAGTGATGATTCGAGTAGCAGCAGTGACAATTCAAGTGATGACCAGCTCGCAGGAGGGCCAGCGCCACCCAGGGCTGGACGTCAGCGTGCACAATGGGCACCACATGTCCGAGGACGGCGTGCGCGTGCTGCAGGAAGAGGGCATAGAGCAAGAGGGCGAGGGGCGCGAGGCACTGCACGAGACCAAGGAGGAGCCGCTGGACAACGGCAAGTACATCAACCCTTGCCAGCAACCGTCAAAGCTCCTTCAGGAGATATTTGGGGAACAGATCGAGATCCTACCCCTGGCGGTTGCCGACGAAAGGCGAACGTCGTGACGGAGAGAGCGGGACCAAGGAACCTTGGAGGAGCATCTTCGATCCTGCAGCTCTTCCAACTGTTCATTACCACTGCCATGACGAATGCAATCCTGCTTCATACCAACGAAGAAGGCCTGCGTCAGCGCGGGATTGCCTGGAAAGACCTAGTCGCTATGAAAGTCTCTTCAGCCATCGGCTTACTGCTCTTCCTCGGACTGACCAAGTCCGGACGTGAAAATGTACGTTCCATCTGGAGGAAAGGTCCCTGTGCCCGAAACATCTGCCTTGCCACAATGTCCGGCACGAGATTCCAAGACATACTCGTCATGCTCAGATTCGACGACAAGACGACCAGAAATCGACAAAACGACAAGTTTGCACCAATCCGTGACATTTTCGACCAGTTTGCCGCTTCTTGCCGTCGATACTACAGCGCTGGCGAAAACGTCCCTGTTGATAAACAACTTGTGCCATTTCGTGGACGATGTCCATTTTTGCAATACATGCCAAGCAAACCAGCGAAATACGGCATAAAGTTTTGGCTGTGTGTGGACGTCGACACCCACTACACACTAAATATATTCCTGTACCTTGGGAAACAAAGGGATCAAACGACTGACAACCGTGGCGCCGAAGTAGTGAAGAAACTGATGGAGCCCTTGTACAACACGGGTAGAAATGTCACGTGTGATAATTACTTCACAAGATCGAGACTAGCCATCGAACTGTTACAGAAAGGCTTAACTCTGGTTGGAACGATCAAGCCCAACCGCTGGGAAGTACCTCAGGAAATCTGCCCCAATCGCGTCAAGAAAAGGGATGCCAAGTCATCGGTGTTTCTTTTCAATGGTGACTTGACTCTTGTGTCTTATATCCCCAAGCCGAAGAGGAGCGTCATACTTCTCTCCTCTATGCATCATGACAAGAGTGTTGATGGAATAAATCAGAAACCCGAAATCATCAATTTCTACAATAAAACCAAGGGTGGGGTAGACACCCTAGACCAAATGGTGAGTTTGTATTCGGTGCTGAGAACAACAAAGAGATGGCCACTGACTGTGTTCTACAATATGATAAATATCGTGGCACTAAACGCCTACATATTGTACTGCCAACTGAACCTGGACTGGGCCCGGCGACACACCAGACGAGATTTCTATGAAGAGCTCATCATGGCACTTGTCCGGCCACAAATTGAGCTGCGGGCGGCCAACCCCGTAGGACTGCACACACACACTGTCAGTGCCATTGGAATTCTTGGCTTCAATGTCGTGAGGCAGAGAGAATTAGAACGACAGCATCATCTAAATGCTCCATTGAGAAGAGACTGCTACCTGTGCCCCTCTCGCAGTCAGGGGGGTAAGCAAACGCGAAACAAATGCAGTACCTGCTGTAGAAACGTCTGCCAGGAACACTGTGTGAAATATGTAGATTTTGTGTGCACTGAATGTGGGGGACACTGAACAGTTCATATGGATTTAGTTTCTTTTATTCACAGTTTATTGTTTTTAGTTTTAGTTTGTCTTATTTACATTTATTTTGTGTTATCGTCTTTGCCGTCATTGATTCATAATTTTAGAATTTAGTTTTTTACTTTCAACATTTACGTTAATTTTGTTACACCTTCACTTGAGATTTACCTCTTTGTTTTGTAATCACCCTCTTGTAGATTGTTGGTTTTTTGTTCGGGACTTTGTTACCCCTTCCTAATTTTTTCACTGTGTTTTTTTTAATTGTTTTCAAGAATGCTACTGGAAACGAAACTTACCCGTACATTTCTTTGTGTCTGTTCTTTAGCTACCACTCTCTTGATTTTAGTATTTGGTTTCTTTAATCTTGGTTTTGAGGGGCTTTATGAAATGGTTCACATTAATGTTTACTCCCGGTGGAGTCAATTTACTACCTCTGAGAATAACAAATGATGTAGGTCTTCCACAGTCTTGTTAAAATTATCCCCCTCCCTCCACAGACCACGCCCCCAGAACAGACTTTTCCCCAACGTACAATACTTGGAAGCCTTCCTAGGAATGTTTCCATTTGGTTTAGAGTCAAAAAGAAGCAGGGAAATGCATGAGGCTTCTGTTACAAAACACCATGCCGCCCTCTTGTTATGATCAGTTCCCTACCGCAGGCCACGCCCCTAAAAAGGACACTTCCTTCACAAATCATACTGAGAAGTCTGCCTAGGAAGGTTTCCGTGCTTGTTTAACAAAAAAATCGTGTGGCCTGAGTATGGCCAATTTATTGCAGTCTCGTTGAATTAAGTGCCCCCACTGCAGGCCATGCCCAGAAAGGACACTTTCTTCACAAATCATGCTGAGTAGTCTTCCTAGGAAGGTTTCCATCTGATTTATTGTAAAAGAAACAGGAAAATGCATTGAATAGGGATTGTTTCACAACAAACTCAATGTGAGACAATTTGGGCACAATGTGCTGTGGGCGCGGTGAAATCAGCACCCCCACCACAGGTCACGCCCCTAAAAAGGACAATTCCTTCACAAAACGTACTGAGAAGTCTGCATAGGAAGGTTTCCATCTGATTTATTGAAAAAGAAATGGGAAAATACATTGACTAGGGATTGTTTCATGACAAACTCAATGTGAGACAATTTGGTCACAACGTGCTGTGGACGCATTGAAATTGACTACCATGCCTCGTCGGAGGGATCCTGTTTTTAAACTACTGAAAAATATCACTGTGTAGTTGCAGTGGAGTAACTAGTGTATGGGGAGTCTGGTTGGGGTAGTGGCTCTTTCCTTGCTTTCCACCTCTGTGACCCAGGTTCGAATCCCACCTAGGTCAGCATGTGGATTGGGTTTTCAGTCCCTGCCTGATTCTGTGGGTTTTCCATGGAATGGTTATCCAGGATTTTCCTCCCACTGCTAAAACTGAACATTTCTTCATTGTCGTCTTTACTGTCTCATCATCTACATGTAGTCACTGGCACTAAATGCACCGTTGGATAAACTGACTTTCAGGGGGCCCTCATTTCCTAGAGGGGGGGCCCCCAATGGGTTGGATCACAGTTAAAACTGACCAAGGCTGACTATCGATAGATTTGTTTTCCCCCTTTTCTAATTTCTGGGGAGGGTGTATCCTTTGAGAGATCTGTATAAGCAATGTTCAACATAATATCCAGTTTCAGCATGCTGGAAGGTACAAGCCATTTCAGAAAAACACAAGCTCATGATTGAAACACGTCTCAACATGACTAGGTTTCCTAAACTGGAACTGCTTTTTTAAAAACATTTTAAAGTTATTTTACCCTGCAAGTATGATTTGAGAATTGCTTTTAAAATCAAAGTCCAACCTGTACAGGCTTGTCATTAAGTATGATCTTCCCCGACGACATCAAGACTACATGTATAAACCAAATATTAACTCATTTTAAAGCACCTGTGCAGTAGATCATACATAGAATTTATAGATACTTGATTCCATAATATAAAAGTATTTGAAATTTCATCTCAATACAAAGAATTGTTCAGATATATTTTTTTACATTTCTTACAGCTTCTTCTTTTGATCATTATACTGACAATCATCAATATCTATATCATTTCAAATTCAAAATATACATTCAAGTCAGATTGACAGCAGAGTTGTTCATCACAAACAAAAACTAAAAACTCATTCTTGTCATTAACTCTGAGCCTATGGGCCTTTGTTTAAAAGCACTTAATTATAATGAAGAGCCAAACACGAAATGAAAAGCAGCACGAAGGCCGGCAATACATGGGCTCTCTTTTTATCAGAACTGCTGTCAAGCCTTTTTCCCCAATTCATCTGATATGCCCCAACATGAGCTTGTCCAATAGAAATCAAGCTTTCTCAAGGAACTGTTGACGCTGAGTGCTTAGACTGAGCAGCGATACAAGTGTTTCAACACACCCATTTCACAAATGTGCAACATCTGCATTTTTTACCTCAACGCTTGAAATTTTCCCCGACGTCTTTTCTCCAAATATCTAATTTCCCACACATTACTGATGACCTGATTACTCCAATGTGTCGGCCTTATTTCACAGTGTTTGTTCTAATCAACTGCATTTGGATTCAAGTCACTTGGTGAATTCAGATTAAGACCTTGACTACAGCTCTGCTAGTGTATGCATTCACATTCCCAGCTGATACTGCTTTGCCTAAGGCAGTGTCCGCATCTTGTGTCCAGAGCTAGGTCTAGGTCTCTCCTGGTTGCAAATGCACAGACACATGTTGACAACACACGTAGCCCTAGCTCTTGGCACTCATGTCAGACATGGCACAGAAAGTTAAGCACAACCCTTTTTGGCGAGCAATAATCTAGGTTACAGTACCTCATTACTGCTAAAACGAATACTCCACAACATTTCAGGACTAAGGTTAATTCCTTCTGAATGCTCAACGGGCAGTTCAGAAGGTCAGTTGTTTTCGTTCACACACCCAATGATAAGGTGCTGTTATTTCAAACAATACTAAAAAGCAAACGCATATAGCTGCAAAATTTGATCGCTTTTGTTCACAACACACTTGAAGTACTGCACTCTTTCATGACACGGCTATGAAGGAAGCATTCTATTTTGTAACTTGATATGTGCATATTTTTAAGATATCATTAGTGGATGGACAAAATTAAACAAATCTGAAACTGTTAACCTACACCTAGGTTAGAACTACTTAAAAACAAAAATTACAGCTGGATTTTGAAAAATTCTGAATAAATCATCTTTTTTTTTTTTTTTACAGAGAACTCAATGTTGGTGCAAACTACTACAACTATTGTAGAGAATCTAATGTCCATAAAATATAATGTTTCAATTGACAGCAATCCTATCATGCATAAAACAACATCACAATTACCTTCTCCTCTTGGTTACCTACACTGTCTTTTGCCTAATGTATACAAAGCACAGCTGAAGAAGTTTAGCCTGCTCCCTTCCCAAAGGCTCACAAACTACTGCGTGCACTGAGTAGGGAACTAATCTAACTGATGACAAGAAATAAATCTGTGTTCATTGATTCAAGAATCAGTAAGAACAGACTTATCCGAGGAGTCCCCATTACAGTGCCACCAATGCCACATGTGAGTATCACACAAGTGCTCAAGTTGAAGGTGCACGTGCACTCTTGTAAGTCATGACGCAGGTAACACTGGTTTCTGGATCTTGTCAAGGGCTGTTCTCGGGGAGGCAGGCAATAGAGCAGAGCAACCTAGCCTCAGATTAGCTGAATTTCTTTTAAAACTCCATTTAAGTGCATAGTCTGTACATGTACAAGTGGTAATTAACATTACTGCTAACGGGTCATTTGGGAGACATTCCCGTAGGAACGTGCACAAAATTTTTCCAACTTTACTGTCCCATAATTCAATATTCCCTAGTCTGATCTGAACCAAACTTCTGTATGTTTTCAATCTATCATCTCTCAAAATTTGGACAAT